TTCTTATTATTATCACTAGTACATATACCATCAATAGGGAACTTATTAGCCTCTCCACAGTAAGAACAATAGTGCTTTGTGGTGCCCTGATCATCTATTATCATGGCATCACAGGCGCCAGAGGTACCACCGCAAGCCGTTGTATCCTCGCAGGTCTTTGTACATGTGACCCCAGTTGAAGGGGTACCGTTTTGCTTGTAGTTGGGCTTACAGGAGTTGCAGGTCAACGAGCCAGAGAAGGTGCACGTTGCACATCCATCGATGCCCCCCTGTGCATTATCACAAGCAACGCACTCACCAGTAGGACCATTGCCTTTCATGAAGAACCCAGGCTTGCATGTATCACACTTATCATTGCCAGTTTGAGTGCAGGTGGCACAGTTAGCACCTGGACAAGCGGTGCATGTAACCGTACCACTACCACTACTGTAGTATCCATCGAGGCACTCCGAGCAGGTCGGCGGTGTCGCCGAGTCCTTGGTACACTTCTTACACCCGGCAATGCCCTGGTAATTTGGATCGGCTCCAGCTGAAACGGTACTGCATAAAACACATGTTTTGTCCTCCTTCATAAATAGGGCCTCGTCAGCGCCTTTACATCCAGCGTAGTCTTTTGTCACGCACGTCGAGGTCCCATCAAGGGCCGTCCTGGGGATCTTACTGTTATCACAAGCTGTGCACTTCGGCTTCTTGGTAGTCGAATCAACCTCACACTGGGTACATGCTTGATCTATCGTGTTGCAAGGAAGGCACTTCCCCGACTCCGGGTCAGCATAAGTGTTTCCAGTGCATCCATTATTATTCACGCATGACTTGTCAGTCTTCAGGTACTTCCCCTCTGGACACGATGTGCAATGATTCGGACCACTTCCATCGCAGGTCAGACAGGACGGATCACACTTCTCACATGCATCACCCTTCTTAATGTATCCATCTTGGCAGACAGTGCATGTGGCCGGTCCGCTAGTGCCCGTGTGGGAGCATTCTGAGCATCCAGCGACTCCCATGACCCCGTTTCTATCTATAGTATCGGAGCACAAGATGCACTCACTACCCTTCTCTGATGGTGTAACTGGGTTCTTGAACAGGCCGTTAGCTGTATTACAAGCAGTGCACAGTCCTCCCTCAGCCTTTGTGCATATCTCACTGCCAGGGTGTGCATCCTTGTTGTAGCACCCGCCCATGAAGAGGAGTCTCATACTATCACTATCACCCCCACACCACATAGCACTATCACTATCACTGTACAGCATTCACTACCTAAGTCACGCCTTCCCCCTGCACAGGAACCACCAGCAGAGGAAGCCCACGAGGCCCCCCACGACAGCGACCACGGCGACGGCAATGCCCGCGATGGCGCCCGTGGAGAGCCCGCTCCTGTTGGTGCTCGTAGACACACAGGAGGTCCCACTGCTGTCAGGGCTGTATCCACTGTTGCACACACAGACAGAGTTATCATCAGTGGAGTTGCTGGGGCAGCCATCCACGCATGACTTCCTCCCAGGGCTCACCTTCTTACCACTACTACACACCTCGCACATGTCATCCCTGTTGCAGTGGGAGCATCCACTAATGGCACATGAGAAGCACCCACTGCCGTCCCTGTTGGGCTTCCTATCACTGTCACAGGAGGTACACACAGCAGCAGCCATACCACCCTCAGTCAGAGCTGTTGGGGCTGTGCACTGTGAGCAGCCATCCACCCCCACGTATGCCTTAGCAGTATCACCAGTGCCTGTCAGTGTGCCTAGGGGGTTGCTACAAGCCAACACGGACTGATCAGTGTTGGATGCCCCTGGGACCAGGAAGTACTTATTACTTGCTGCCTCTGTGCATATCCCATTACTACTTGATGCCTTGCACATGAAGCTACCTGGTTCTTGACCAACCTTATAACAGCCTCCCATATATAAGAAGTACCCTTGAGCACACTGTGTACATGTATGACTGTTACAAGTATTACCTTTCTTATCAGTAGCACAGATGCCATCAATTGGTACCTTAGTACTCTCCCCACAGTATGAGCAATAGTGAAGCTCCTTTCCATCAGCACCGATCACTATGGCATCACAAGAGCCAGCTGTCCCCCCGCATGCAGTCTCATCTTCACAGGTCTTTGTACACGTATAGTCATCCCCTGCATCTCCATTAAGCTGTTTCTTATAGTTAGGCTTACAGTCAGTACATTTGAATCCACCACTGTTAGAGCATGCACTGCACCCATCGCGGCCACCATTTGCTGTATCACTACATGAGATGCACTCACCAGAGGAGCTATCCTTCAAGAAGTACCCTTGCTTGCAGGTCGTGCATTGGTCTTTTGTATCCTTAGCACAGGTGGCACAGTTCTCACCACAGGCTGTGCATGTAGCGGTATTACCACTTGCACTATTGTAATATCCATCGAGGCACTTTGTACATGTAGTTTTAGAGGAGCAGGTATCACAACCTAGAATCCCACCATTTTTAGTATCACCACATGGAACACAAGCTTTTGGAGATTGTTCAAGGAAGTGCGTATTGCCACTTGTGCACTCTGCCTCCGCAACACACGTCGCTGACCCATCGGGGTTCACCTTAAGAAGCAGGTTTCCTCCACTATTACACCCAGTGCACACAGGCTTCTGAAGAGTGTCGCTGTATGCACACGTAGCACATTCATTGACACTTGTGTCCGTGCAGGCCTTGCATTGGCCTGTTTTTGGGTCTGCATACTTACCATTGTCACATTGATTAGCATCCACACACTTGTCAGCCTTCAGGAACTTCCCCTCAACGCAGGCGGTACACTGAGTCGGAGTATCAGCTGAGCAGGCAGAGCAGCCCTCTCCGCACTTCACACATGCACTGTCCTTCTTAACGAACCCATCTTGACAGGCAGTACATGTGACAGGTCCTGCACTCTGTGGTGCCTGACACTGTGCGCAGTTAGCCACCCCCGTATATCCATCTGCTCCCTTGATATCATGACAGAGGATGCACTCACTACCCTTCTCTGGTGTTGCAGCAGGGTTCTTGAACAGGCCGTTATCTGCCTTACAAGTAGTGCACACTCCTCCCTCAGCCTTTGTACATATCTCACTCCACTATCATACTATCACACACTATCACCCATTATCACCCTCTATCACACATTATCACCCATTATCATCACTCATAGCATTCACTACCTAAGTCACGCCTTCCCTCTACACACGAACCACCAGCAGAGGAAGCCCACGAGGCCCCCCACGACAGCGACCACAGCCACGGAGATCCCCGCGATGGCCCCCGCGGAGAGCCCGCTCCTGTTGGCGCCAGAGGACACACACTTACCATTGTCTAGACTGAAGCCACTGTTGCACTCCCCACACACACCGTCCACCACACAGCTCTTGCAGTTGGTGTCAGAGCATACTACACACCCACTGCCATCCTTGTTGGGCTTTTTATCACTGTCACAGGAGGTGCACACAGCGGGGGTCATACCACCATCAGACAGACCTGCTGGGGCTGTACATGCTGAACAGCCATCTATTCCCACATATGCCTTAGCAGCACTATCAGTGCCTGTTGATGTGCCTAGGGGGTTACTACATGCCAACACGGACTGCTGAGCATTGGTTGCCCCCGGAACCAGGAAGTATCTATTGTTGGCTGCTTCTGTACAGACACCCTCCTTACTTGATGTCTTGCACATGAGGCTACCTGGTTCTGTATTAACCTTGTAACAACCATTCATATACATAAAGTACCCTGTAGTACAAGACTCACAGACATGGTTGTTACAAGTATTACTTTGAGCCTCACTAGCACAGAGACCATCTATAGGATACTTACTGCTATCCCCACAATAGGAACAGTAATGATGCTCTACTCCATCATTGTCGATCACTATAGCATCGCAGGCCCCTGCTGTCCCACCACACGCAGTATCATCTTCACAGGCCTTTGTACATGTGACCCCAGTTGAAGGTTCTCCACTGGGTCTGTAGTTCACCTTGCATTTTGTGCACTTAAATGTGCCACTATTTGTGCACTCGGCACACCCCTCGATGCCACCTTTGGTTGTGTCACTACATGAGATGCACTCACCAGAGGAGCTATCCTTCAAGAAGTACCCTTGCTTACATGTCAGGCACTTACTCGGATCTTCCTTCTTGGAGCATGTCGCACAGCCTGGAGCGCACGGATCGCATGTAAAGCCCCCGCTTCTGTTCTCGATGTATCCCTCCAGGCATTCTGTGCAGGCTGGATTGGCACTCGCTGTCTTCGTGCAAGCCTTACAGCCAGCAATGCCTTTGTTCTTTTGTTCTGAATCCGACGCTGCGGGATCACTGCACAAACGACACACGTTGTCCTCGGTCATAAAGAGACCGTTATCAGCTCCTTGACACCCGGCGTAGTTCTTCGCCACGCAGGTCGAGGTTCCATCAAGGGTCGTCCTGGGGATCTTGGTTCCATCATCGCCACACTTACTGCACTTCGGCTTCTTGGTAGTCGAATCAACTTCACACTGGGTACAGCTGGGATCTATCGTACTACATTCCTTGCACGTTCTGGTAGCTTCGTCAGTATAGTGTGTGCCTGTGCATGAGCCAGCTACGACACAATCAGTCCCCTTCAGGTACTTCCCCGCTACGCAGAGGGTGCATGCATTCTGACCGGTTCCACTACACGTCTCGCAGTCGGTATGACATTTGACACATGCACCGTTACCATCTTTATAGTACCCTGCTTGACACTCTGTACACGTGGCAGCTCCTGGACTACCACTTGGTTCCGTGCACTTGAGGCAGTTAGCCACTCCTTTGTTCTCATTCGCTCCCGTGGCATCATGGCACAGGATGCACTCCCCACCAGGGGTCACCTTCTCTGCCCTGTTCTGGAATATGTACTGACTATCTGTATTACAAGCAGTGCACAGTCCATTACTGGCCTTTGTACATATCACACTCCACTATCACACTATCACCCTCTATTACCCATTATCACACATTGTATAGCATTCACTACCTAAGTCACGCCTTCCCCCTGCACACGAACCACCAGCAGAGGAAGCCCACGAGGCCCCCCACGACAGCGACCACAGCCACGGAGATCCCCGCGATGGCCCCCGCGGAGAGCCCGCTCCTGTTGGCGCCAGAGGACACACACTTACCATTGTCTAGACTGAAGCCACTGTTGCACTCCCCACATATATTATCCATCACACAGCTCTTACAACCACCCACAGAGCACAGGACACACCCACTGCCGTCCCTGTTGGGCTTCTTACTACTGTCACAGGAGGTACAGACAGCGGGGGCCATACCACCATCAGACAGAGCTGCTGGGGCTGTACACTGGGAGCAGCCCTCTACTCCCACATATGCCTTAGCAGTATCACCAGTGCCTGTCAGTGTGCCTAGGGGGTTGCTACAAGCCAACACAGACTGATCAGTGTTGGATGCACCAGGCACTACGAAGTACCTATTGTTGGCTGCTTCTGTGCAGATCCCAGTATTACCTGCTGTCTTGCACATGAAGCTACCAGGAGCCTTCTGAGTGCTATAACAGCCACCCATGTATAGGAAGTAGTTGTTGGTGCACTGTGTACATACACCATTAGCACAAGTATTCCCAGCCTTTTGAGCCTCACTAGCACAGAGACCATCTATAGGAGCTTGTGAACTATCTCCACAATAGGAACAGTAGTGCTTTGTGGTGCCCTGATCATCTATTACGATGGCATCACAAGAGCCAGCTGTCCCCCCACAAGCCGTGGGGTCCTCGCAGGTCTTCTCTGTGCATGTATAGTTGTCTGAGGTTCCAGCGGGCTTCCTGTTAGGCTTGCACTTTGTGCACTTGAGAGGTCCTGTAGACTCCTTTGTGCACTCGGCACACCCATCGATGCCCCCCTGTGCATTATCACAAGCAACGCACTCACCAGTAGGACCATTGCCTTTCATGAAGAATCCAGGCTTGCATTTAGTGCACTTATCATTGCCAGCTTGAGTGCAGGTGGCACAGTTGGCACCACAGGCTTCACATGTAACCGTACCACCATTTCCACTATTGTAATATCCGTCGAGGCACTCCGAGCAGGTCGGCTTGGCTCCGTTCTTCTTACATGTTTTACACCCAGGCGTCCCTTTATTAGCTTCTAAACTTTCACTATCATCACTACACAATATGCACTTGGTGCTACCATCATTTAGAAAGTGGGATCCGTCAACGTTACTTGTTGCGCACCCATTTGCATCGACACAGGTTGTCGTGCCATCGATGGCCGTCTTCACCATCTTCTGACCACCGCAGTTAGTGCACTTCGGCTTCTTGGTAGTCGAATCAACCTCACACTGGGTACATGCTTGATCTATCGTGTTGCAAGGAAGGCACTTCCCCGACTCCGGGTCAGCATAAGTGTTTCCAGTGCATCCATTATTATTCACGCATGACTTGTCACCCTTCAAGTACTTCCCCTCTGGACACGATGTGCACTGGGCCGCCGATGTCTCACAGGTCAGACAAGTACCATCACACTTGCTACATGCCTGAAAGTCCTTGTAGTACCCTGCTTGACAGGCAGTACACGTGGCTGCCCCCTTATTACTGTCTGACTTGGTACACTGTGCGCAGTTAGCCACCCCCGTATATCCATCTGCTCCATTGATATCGGAGCACAGTATGCACTCACTACCCTTCTCTGGTGTTGCAGCAGGGTTCTTGAACAGGCCGTTAGCTGTCTTACACTCAGTGCACAGTCCTCCCTCAGCCTTTGTGCATATCTCGCTGCCGGGCCCGTCGGTTGTCTTGTAGCACCCGCCCATGAAGAGGAAGTACCCGTCGCCGCACTTCTCGCAGGTTGCTGTCATCTTGTCAAGGGCAGCCCCGCCCGCTTTGGTGCACCCGGCTGCCGCGGCCTGGGGGGAGCCGAAGGGTCGGCAGAAGCCGTCGACCGGGACGCCCCCGGTCTTGCACTCGGTGCAGATCTCGGCTGACCCGACCGTCTCGCACTTGCCGGTCTGGCAGGTCGCGGCGTGGTCTCCGTCTGGCTGGCAGGCCGCCATGAGCGCGCTCGCTACGAACAGGGGTATCAGTTGGAACATTAGAGGGTCCCCTGCTGTGGCCTCTACCCCGTCTGTGGCTACCCAGCACGGCACACGGGGGGAGCGCTGTTCCACCCCTGCCTTGGAGGCCCCTGTCTCGACTCGGCCCACAGCACCAGAGCGTGGTGGTCTTCCACTCTTGGGCCCCGCACAGCCCGTCTCTGTGCCCAAGCGACTCACCCCAGGCACTCACACGACGGAGACCCCCGCGGCAGTGCTCCGGCAGGCGGGCTGCGCTGATGTCCGGCCCGGCGCAGAGCCCAGAAGGCTCAGAGGTCATGGCTCCTTGATGACTGCCATGTCGTTCTCCTCGCTCGGTTGACATGCACCCTGCTAGAAGGCTCCCACTTACTCGAGCTCATGCCCCCCTGTGGTGACTCTGCTCGACCATCAGCGAGGGTCCCGGTCCTCCTCCCAATAGGCCGGCCTCAGGTCCCCCGTGATCTGCCAGACCGGGCAGAGTGATCGCGGCGCCCGTCAGAGCCTGAGCCGACAGGCCCGCAGTGAAGTGCGCCTGGATCCACGGAGATCGTTCACTCCCCCAGTGGGCCGCAGCTTCCCCTGCCCTGCTGACAGTCCTCCAGCGAGGGCATGTCGTTGTGGGGCAGTCTTCTCGTCCTGCCGTGCACACAGGGCCCGACTGGTGACTTTCGGACAGTCCCGATGGTATGCCTGAAGCCCCGCCACGGCAGAGGGGGCAGCACACGGGGCGGCCCCTACGCTGCTACAGATTGCAATGGCAGCAGAGACCCCCTGCCCGAGAGGCCCGTGCATTGGCTGTGGCGGCCATCCACTCCATGCGGGCCCGGTGCGGCGCTCCTGGAGAGCCCTTGCCTCTGGTGGTGCTGACAGGGCTCCCGAGGGACCAAGGCGTCAGACGAGGGACGGGCCGAGCAGGACTCCCAGCCCACATGCAGATGTCCCTGCCGTGTGCCCGGTCCTGTAGAGACCCGAGCCGCTGGAGGTGTCCCTCGGCATCCGGCCCCCTGCTGTGCCAGTCGGTGCAGGGGAGCAGCGTACAGGGCCCTCATGGGCAGTCTCCTCTCACAGACAGGGCACCAGGGGTCTCAGCAACCGACCGGCCGATGCAAGGGACAGGCTCTCCTGCCACGACGGCGCTCTGCTGCTAGGAGGGTCTGGCGGACAAGCTATCAGCACACGCACTCTCCTGGGCCGCCTCGGGGCACTCCAGCGTGGCCAGCGGCTTGCGGATCAGTCTGGTGTCCCGGAGCGTGTGAGGAAGATGAGGGGTTTACTCTGGGCTGCCGTCTTGTCGAGGGCAGTCCCGTGCATGAAGCTCTGAACTCATGTGATGCCGGTCCAGAGGCACCTCTGACGAGAGCATTAACAAGAGAAGCGTTGAGTAGTCAATGGTCCATCCTGTAAGCAAGCTGCTAGGTGCGAAGGCATTGAATCTGTGTGCGGTCGCATGGCCACACATCACGACCCACAACGTCATAGCGCACCGCATAGCTGGCACACCCCAAGGGTGTATGGAGACAGTAGACCAGTAGTTTAATGGATCAAGGCAGAGACTGTGCCACAAAGCGTGGAAAGACGGGTTCCACAGAAGCTGGTAAGCTACGATCACCAGTCTTCTATAATAGTGAGTGATGTCAACAATCTCTTCCCGAAGGAGCTTACAGATCTATCTCTAATCAGCTAACTGGGGGATAAAGAAAAACAACTAGGGTCTACCGTGAGGCACCCTGCCACAGTTGATCATGGCAGCCACCGATGAATGCACTCCATTCCACAGAATAATAGACACCCGGAGTCCTTTCAATCTGATCGAGTCTAAGTCCACAGCAGACCGCCCGGCCCGAGAGCCTACTGTTGCTGGGCGAGGGGCGTCAGTGGACCGTAGCCTTCCATAGACTGGGATAGGTGACCAGTGTCGGGGCTCGTCAACCATGATGAATCGGCTGTGATCGGGTATTTCCCTGCCGCATAACTGGGACATGCAGAACAGCTCTGGGCAGAGCGAGAAATTGACTGGAGTGGCGGGGCTGAATCCCTCGATTGATGCCAATCTCTGACTACGATATCGGGCGACTCATCGATCTTTTTAGCGATACTAGCCGAGAGTTACAGCTGTCTTTACTTAAGCTATCTTTGCGCTTCACTATGCTGATGTTGCTTGTTGTACAGTAAGTCTGTGCTTGCTTAATCTAGATGCCTTTGCACAATAATACCGTAGATGCGCTTAACGATTACCCATCAATGCAACTTTTTGCTGAGCTGATTGCATATTATAAAAGTCAATTGTGTCTAAGAAGCTAGCGCCTCAGTAAACCAAAGGAAGGCATATACGATGTTAAAAAGTGCCTCTCTAACGTACAATTGACACCTTAATATTCTTCTGATTGTCAATGGCTATAAAGTGAATCTCGTCCGTAGTAAATTCTTAGAGGAGTTCACAGCTTCTTTGTTATAGCGGACTTGCACACAAATGCACCTCACTTGATGGTCAACACATTTCAATCAGATCAATCAAAAAAATTATTACAATTCTAGCCAAGTAAAAATCCAATCTTGAGTAAAGATTGAGTTCGATGGCGGCGTGGCAGTCTACATTATAACATCCCTAGGATTTACTGCTGAAAATTGCTGAGCAATGGCCAATGTGGATACAATTAGATCGTATTAAATAATTGCAATCACTTTAACTGTACATCGCTTGGGGCAGTAAGCAGTTCAGCAGTGCTGGTTTAGCTTTAGCAAACAAATAAGGTTTGGAAAGACGGTGACTTTATTTTGAATCGATGTTTTTAATAACTTTTATCCTATGAGCGGGTACTGGACTGGAACTACAAAGATACTGCTTCTGGTGGGGATTCCATGCATTATTACCACATATACGATAGCCGTTGTTCCACGCAGTCTCATTGGCGTTATTAACGTACTAAACTTGGAATATAGCTTCAGTTGGAAACTACACTTTTTCTATGAGTTTAGAGCATGGTTTGGAACAGTTATAGTGCTCTCTATTTTAGTTCTTTACTTCTTTGTGTCCCATTTGATGCTATGTTGCAGCTGCAGTAAAACTCGGAATGTGGTTGTCTATTGCTATCTAGCGTCAATTGGAACTGGGTATTGTGCAATTGTAGATCTATTTTCCTGCATAGTTACGCCATTTGTTAACCTCGAATCTGCCTATATTTCTTTATTACTCATAGGAGATCTATCCAAATACGCCACATTGAGTGTCGGGATTGCCTGGCTCTTTACTGTCACTGCAGGAGTACTTCTCCTAAATACCGAGTCAGCTTGCTTGCGAGCCCTTACGCCGACCATTGGCTCACTAATTTCATTTGGACTTCCTTTATTCATCGTATTGATAAATGGTGTCGGGCACTACAATGTGTATACAACTCCACATTATATTATAGCCAGCTTTGTTCTAGCATTTCTAAGTCTGGTCTGCTATTTGCTCGCATATTTTGTGGAATTTCAAAAGACAAAGATTCTGAACAAGTATGATGTATTTGGTGGTCCTTCCACTTCGTTTGGGAGAACCCCGGCCTCCTCTACTACGATGCTAAGCACTGCCCACGATTCATCTACGTATCGAGGCTACTCAAATGATGCCTATTTGTATGCTTAGTGTTTTATTGGGCCAATGCCACTATGCAATCTACTCTGCTACTGATGTGATATCGGAATACAGATCCTGCAAACGCTCATAATGCACAGTACTGAGTGTTAGTAAATTTTGTTCATCAGATCACGAAGAAGCAAGATCTTGTCGTAGAAAAGATGCTAGTATGCAGGTCTGCTAAATGAATAGCAGAATAGCAGGTTCATTGGACGCCTTCTCACAAGTAGACATCTGTCCGCCGGCAAAAAATTGAGATTTCATGCAGGTTCAGCAGAACCCAGAATTCCTCGGCTCGCAGCAAGTTACCGAAAGAACTCAGAGCCTCTTTCGCCCAGTTAATTCGATGAGTGATCCGCGTGTGGCGAAGGGCAGCACATGGGCTCGGGAAGCAGGCGGATCCAACTATGGCCGCTCCCTGGGGCTGACGAATACCAGGACTCGTGCACTTCAAAACGCTGCACGAACGGGTGTTAGCGACCTAATGAGCATGGTTCCAGAGAGACCGTCGCTGCCATCAATTCCTGTCCAAACTGCTCCCTACCTTGAGGCGTATCCAGATAAAATCGAAGAGGCTGGCGCCTGCACCCAGACAGACCCTATGCTTGAAATCAAGGAACCTGCCCCCTACGTTCCGCCGCCCCAGGGTATCGATGTGTCTACACAGATAGAAGAGGGCGATCTCTTTGACTTTGATAGAGAGGTTCAGCCGATCCTGGATGTGCTAGTCGGCTCTGTGCTGCAGCAAGCTCTCAGGGAATTTTCAGACGAAGAAGAGTTGCGATTGATTCGCATAGCCAGAGACAAGGTGCGGCAGCGCCGTGCTGCAGAGCTTCAGGAAGTCCGTCGCTTAGAGGAGGCAGAGCGTCGCAGAAGAGCCGAGATTGTCAAGCGCCAGGTTGAAGACCTCAGGAGAAAGGAGCTTGAGGAGGCCGTTGCCCGCAAGATGGCTGCCCAAACATTTGCCACAGCATATGCTGCTGAGTTGGAAAAGGATGCTGTGGACTCAATTGAAACACGTGGCGGATTTATTTCGCCATTGGAGGCAGCAGTGACCGGCAGCTTCGTTCCGTACATCGTCTCTACCTCTATTACAAAAGCGAAGGCTAGGGGCCGCATTCATTCTATCTTGCGCTGCATCATAGAAGAGGCAGTCAGGACAGGACTCTCCATGGAAAGTTAATAACCGGCTAATAAACTATTATATTCTCAGCTTTTACTAGGTGACATTTCGTCCTGCATCATGGCTGTTATTATAAGGTTTGAGCTCTCTGTGAATTCCGTCCCTGGTGGCTGAGATCCTACAAAGGGTATCACGTCACTCTTCTGGTCTGTGTTCACCATAGCAGAAAACCCGTCTACGGCCAGCACAGGCATGGGACAATCTGGAGCTGGTAACGTACTTTGAGCTAGTTGGGGAGCAGGACCTGACAACTCCGTTTCTGTCTGAAAATCGTTCAGACCCAGCGAAACGGCGGGGCGCTGAGAAGAGTCTGGATCAGTAGATATGCAATTAGCAGGCTTTGGTGCCTGATCAATAGACTTTGCTGCAGGCATGTCATCAGGAACTACCTGAGAATTATACCGCTTTTGCGATCTTTGGCCACCGCCAGAGACAACTACATGGTGTTCTAAAAGCTCTTTATCCTTTAAGTAGTTCTTTGAGGCGTCGTCACTGAGGTCACTAGTTTCTTCAGTCAGCTCATTGCATCCAGAAAGGTTTGCGCCGTCCACATACTGCTCTAGCTCTGTCAAGAAAGCATCAGACTTAGCGAGCACCAGTGGTGATTCTTGGCAGGCGACAGACTCTAACGCACAGACGACCTCGTCTAGCTTTTTCTGATATCCTGAGAGGACAGCCTCGAATTGCAAAGATTCGTTAAGTGAAGCAGTGGACTTAAACATGCGCGGCAAGTGTCTAATAAGATTCTTCTGCAAGATCTCATCCGTCCTTTTGGGATGAATTTGTATTCTCTGCAGTTTGGGAGCACTGTATCCCCCAGCTTGCTCTATATCAATAACTGATAAAACCCCGCTCTTGAAAAGGGGATCATCCCGATAAGTAGTGCTTATCTGTAAATGCTCCCGTAGTGCTAAGCTATAGAGGCGTCTATGAGTGGTCTGTGTCACCGCCCGTAATCGTATCTGCTCATTGTAGTACTTTTTCACTCTACTTTCAAGAGCAAGAAGTCTCTTATAATTCTCCTCATCAAAAAATGGCAACTCAGCGATCCTTTTCCTCGTTGCAGCCAGTTTTGTAAAGAATTGATGCGTTGATGTTGAGAGTTCGCCGACAGAATCAAAGACGCTATCAACAGACTCATTTGCACTTGCTTCTGGATAAAGTGTTTCTGTCGGGCCACTCGTGATCATCGCTCTATCTACATGGGTGTGTGGTGATGTATACCCAATCTCATTGACTGTGTCTAATCCCCCTAAACTTGTCGAGTTAATATGTAAGTCATCAACTGGTAGTCGTGTGTCTGGCTCAGGACCCTCCGTCCCCGGACTGGTCTGCCTTGCTGCCTGGATAAATGCGGCCCGAGCCTTTTGCTGAGCCTGTAGTACCTCTGATTGTACTAGGTTTAAATGTGGATAGGATATTCTGGGTTTCTCTTTCATATTGCTCAAAAATCTGAGAACATCGGCGTGCTGCAAACGCTCATAGTTAGTGGACCTTAGGCGCATCGGCATAGACCCATTAGAAGCATAGTTCTTGACTAGATCTGCTTCTACAGTCAGGTTTGCTTGTCTTAATGTGTGCTCTTCCATATTCTTCCCCAAAAGGTATGACGGCTGCACTTGAAGCACTTTGGATTTTTCTATTTGAGGCAGTTGTATTTTGTTTAGATCATATTGAGTTATGTCTGAACCAGCTACTATTGAGCCATTGGGCTCTTCTGGTGAATACTTAAAATCTGGAGAGATATAAACTCTTGACTTATGATATTGCCCTGCGCAGAATGTTGTGGTTATGTGGCTATTAGATAAGTTGGTAGGAGCTTTGGTACCCCCAACGGGATGTGCTCCTTGTGGGTAGATGAATCGCGCGCCTGTCTGCACGAGTTTGTCATACAGGTTGGGCTCTTTGTTGACGTTATTCTTATAAATGGATTCTGCAATGGATGCATACTCTGCTGTACTATATTTCTGCTGCTTGGAAATAACTGGGCTGCCGGTCACGGCTGAAAGAGCTGATGAAGCAGGTTGTGTAGTATTGTGAGTAGTGCTCTTTGATTCTACCCTATGACCAAGCGGCATTTGACAAGGGTGTTCATTTTGCCTACTTAGCGATTTTACAGGCGAGTTAGTTAGTGGGTCTGAAGCTGCTTCGTCTATCACAGAAAGCTTTCCCTTGTTATCATAAGACTTTGTCAGGATAGCCATATTTGCAGTGCATATTGCTTTGTGAAGATAATGGTCAACGGGTAGACCGTTGGAAGCAGCCTGTTCTGGTGTCTTGAGGTTTCGAGCGGAACCAGATGCTCCCAAACTGTTCAATGGGCTCGCGTCGTGTTTGTGTGAATACTGTGAAAAGGAAGCCTGCCAAGCAAAGTCGTCCGCAGAGCCTGTAATTTCATTAACTAGAGCTGAGTGAGTGGATTGGAACTTTTCATTAAACTCATCAGGAAGAAATCCGTCTCTAATAAACATCTGGGTCTTCGTGTACTCTCTGAATATATTAGCAGCGATGCTTATTGCAACAATTAGATGTTTAAATAACCCATCAAACCTAGAGTCATAAGGAATAGTAAGATACCATGATACAGTCGTTTCTGTGAGTACATGAAAATCGTAGAAGCTAAACTGGCATCCACGGCCAATATCCTCCAGCAGGATTGTGTGCAGGACACGTCTGTATTCCGGAGGTTTTGCCACCATGCTGAACCCGAGGCATAGGCCCAAGAGGGTTGTGCCATAGAGTTCCGAAAGAAGCTCTGTCACTGGCCCATCGCCATAATAATTCCGTAGAACTTCATAGTATATTGCTGAAAGCTTGAATGTATAGCCCAGACAACATGAACGTAGTGCCTGCGAAAGGAATCCAAACAGCGGCCCCCCAGACTTTCTCGTTGGTGATGTAACATGTATTGGAGATAAGGAGTATTGATCGCGTGCATATTGCGTCTGCAACCCTGCATCACTGTACACCGAAGCGTTAGTAAAAGATGCTGATGTGCGCCGCCTTGGTGTCACAGAAACATCTGATTCACACTGAATAGATGCCGTGGACACGGTTGATAGCCCCACCTGTTTGCTGAAGCTCGCCGAAAGGGTCGATTTTGTAAGTCTGGAGCTGGGTGGCCGAGAGGTTGCCCGTTGTCCTGGTTCAGACGTTTCGATTGCTCGAAGAATCAATGGGAAGTTCTGGAGGGTGAGGGAGTGCATATAAAACATAGCTCCAAATTCAGCCGGTATCCGCTTCCTGAGAGTGGTAAGCCTGACAAATAAAATGCTGAGATTGTGAGGATAAAGACTTTTGAAGCCTGCTAAGGTGTTAAGAAGCTCTTGAGAGATAACTAGACTGTTGAGTATATCTCCAGAGAGGTCCTCTCTCGGGGTGATATCAAGGTAATCATTGAAGAGCTTGTTGTACGTTTCATAGATATACGAAAGTTTATCAGGCACCGAAGCATTGGAGTGCAGGTTCTCAAACTTTGCTCTGTTGAACTTGAGGATCTTATGTGAGGGTTTGGCTGGTGAAAGTAAAGACTTCGATTCACGATAATGAGGCACAACTACCCCAGCCTTGACAGTCTCTGCCTGTCGCAAGAGGTGCTTTTGAAGCCGCGTCAGCTTCTCGTTATTGTCCTTTACGGTAAGGAGCCTCCTAGCTAACCTGCGCTCCTCATCTGAAATGTACTCTCCATTAAGACACCAAAGAAGAGGAAATGCCAGAACCATAAATGGCCGGGAAAATGGCAAACTCTCCAATTCGGGGTTACTCTTAAGGACCAGGTTCATTACTATTACTGACTGCAAAGGAATAAGATGCTTTAGAAGCAATCCATTACCGGTAAAATCTAGAATACCCAGGGAGGTAAATAGCGAAAGTGAGCGTATATCTAATAAGGAAGGATTGTATGGTACAAGAATATTGAAAATCTCAAGGTTTTCGTGAAGTAGTCCAAGACTGCTAAGTCCAGACGCCGGGGAGAAGAAAGTATGGAGGTACGGATACTGAATAGTTGACTTCATATCGAATTTCTGGTTCGCTGCATTTACAAAAACGCTCTTGCTCCACGCTTTCATAGACGCCGGTTGACCGGCTTTTTAATTTTTCTCAGTACACCAATTGTATTTTGCACAAGAGGCGTTACCTGCTTAGGTAGCAGTGAAAGAAGCTAGCTTAGCTCACTACCACCCTAACCCATTTACCTGTTTCGCTCTGTGCGCAACTGGTGCAACATAGGAATCCGTCCTCGATCCGACACATTGTCCAATCAAGCGTCTTACACTTTTTGCACCTTTTGTGAACCATGAGGCTGCTAAGAATGTGCTTGCTAGTATCGCTACAAGGAAGAGCTCTTATTGTGGCCGTAAGCTTAAGTTGCTCTAAGTACAACGAACAGGCCTGGTTACTGTACTCAAGTCCCACCTCTAATATCTCGTCAATCTCGTGATGTGCCGTATCTAGCATTTGCTCGATGGTTTGCTTGTGCTCTAGAAGCATCCCAGAGTACTTGGCTATGGTGGTACTGTTGGTTAGCTGTGCTTGCTCCTTGGCATATGCGTCAACTTTTGCCTTCACTTGGGACTCCCAGCGCTCAACCTTTGCTGGGATGGTCTTTAGGATGTTACGAAGAGCGGTCACTGTGTCGCTGAAGGACTCCACATTATCTTGTCCCCTCACCGCAAAAGGGGAGTCAGATACATCGCCGGCGTGCTCACCGTGTTCATCATGTGCCATCTTAGTTATGAAACCTGCAAATCTTTTAGTTAGGCTCTTCTCCAAGGCATCTATTGCGTCGTGAATTATATCTCTTGCTGATCCTAGATAGAGTATCATCGACTGAAAATCTCCTGCTGCGCTATTAAATATTTCTAAATACTCTCTCGATTCCGTACCTGTAAAGCTGCTTTCTGATGTAGATGAAATGGTGGAGGTTGACGTGGTAATGGTAGATATCAGCCCGTCAAGCTTCTCTTTTTGCCGTATCATCGTCTTTATTTTCTGTACTATGTCTATAATCTCTTTGATTGCAGGAGTTTCCTTGACGAGGTCAGAGGGATCATTAGATATGCGTGCAGTGTTTAACATGCGTCCAAACAGCTCACCGACGTCATCTGTAGAGACTAAACTAGAGATAATTCCGTCTAGGAAATCGTCTGGGCTCTTATCATCAATGTCGTCGCTATTCTCTGCGGACTTATCCATAAGCTTTGAGTCTGTACCATTCTGTGCCCAGATATGTGTGATTTTATCATGGACATCATTCAAGTACTCACTGAGAGACCTTAGAGCCGATAGGTTAACGTTACGAAAAAGCGAGAAAAGCCTTTTTGATCTATCATCTAGTGTGGATTGGTCTCTTTGTCCATTACCTGGCCGATCTTCTATTCTACTATTTTCCACTGCACTGCTGTTCAGCGATGACTCATTCTTAATACTGTGTGGTATATTATCGTGGTTGGTGCTATTGGGTGCATCAGTGTTCTCCGCGTTGAAGAGCTTTAACATGTTTATAACATCTCTGTTCAACCGGTGTAACAGTTCCACTAAGTCATCATGTTTGTGCTCCTCTGAGTTAGTGAGTGATACGTTACCATGGTTGTCATTGCTATCCTGTTGATTGGAGCCCTTTAGCTCACTATTTGATACCATGCTACCGTTATCAATGCTATTACTTGCATAATCACATAGAGCTAGGACGTCTTCTGGAAATAAAAGTCCTATTCCAGGGTCATTAAGAAACTGTTCTGAAAGCTGCCCACACAGGATGCGCGGCTTCTGTTCGACATCGCAAATAAGAACTTCGTTTGAAAAGTAGTTAGTACGCAGCTCTTCGAACTTATTACTCTTCTTTGAGATGGGCTGAACGAAGTACTTCTGCTCTTTGTCTGTGGCAAACGCCTCGATTAATTGTAAAGCAGAGTTGAAAGCAGTAGATTGGTCATCTGCTTCAGATATCTTTTGCTCCTCTATACGAAGCATGGTTCCAAAGCATAGCGCGCTAAGAAGCTGAGTGGAGCTTTGTGCACGCTTTAGCTCTGGCTCACCGACAGTAGAAAAGCTTTCTACCTGATCAAGAGACTCTTCAAGAAGCTCCTCAAGTTTGCAATTGTAGGTGTCAAGAGAGCTTTGAAGCTCGCCGGCCTGCTCTTTAAGAGTTGCGCTAATCGACTGAAGCGCCCGCCGATACGTATTGAGAGAGGATATTTCTGCCGCTAGGCCCCGAAGGCGGTATTGCGAAACGTAGAGCGGGAAGTTTCGAAGCATGGCGCAAGCTCCTCGGCCTCGGACTATTTCAGACTTCCATTTCTTAATTTCATCTGTTAAGTCTTTGCGTCCACTTTCTATATTTATATGGCAAATTAACGTTTATCATAAGCACCGGCATCCTTTTATGGCAAATATCGGGATACTAGCTGACGAGGCCACCATCACGGGCTTCCTTCTTGCTGGTGCAGGTTGCATTAGTAGCGGTAATCAGAAGAATTTTCACGTTGTAGACCAGAATGTGTCCAAAGCAGATGTCGAAGCAGCGTTTGAGGAGCTAAGGAACAGTCCAGATATCAGCATAATTATGGTGTCCAACGGTGTCATGGAGACAATAAAGGATACTATTGCTGAATACGATCTTCAAGGAAAAGTGGTAATGCCGTTTCCTACTAAAGATTCAGGTTTGTTCGCAAGCTAAGTATTATGTGAAGTAAACCACTTTGTAGCCTTCGCAGACATAGCATGCCTAATTTTATTCTTAGACGATGGTTGCGCAGGGCTCCTGCTCACTGTGCTGCGGGCTTTTCTGGAAGACAGCGCCTCCTCTGACAATAGCAATCCCTGCTGTTGTGCTCCTATGTAGCATTGCGTTCTTTATCACATGCATGAGCATGTACATTCAGTTCCAGTGCTTCCTCATGGACTACACGGCGCTTATGCCCGGTGCTATCTTTCTTCAAGGTCACGTGTGGAGAATCGTGACGCCGCACCTGGTTCCTGCAACCCTGTGGCAAACACTGTTTATTCTTATGTCGTTTGTTCCGCCCGCGTTCATTCTAGAGAAGAAGATAGGATCACTGCGGTTCTTCGGATTGTTAGTGTTCTGCATGGCATTTGTATCTCTTACAATATCTGCAATAGCCGCGGTTTTGTACTACACACCTGGTATCAACAAGTGGAGCTACTTCAAGGCCCAGTGGTTCAGTACTTCCGATCTCGGGCCGACATCGCTGCTTCTCTTTACGATGATTTGTAGCATCCGAGCGCTCAGACAACGGACTCTCCCTTTCTGCTTTTGCCAAATACCCTCGTGGGCCTACATTCTCATCACATATGTCTTTGCACAACTTATGATGTATCCGCCATGGTATGGCATTTTCTATAACCTGATGGCCGTAATAGCAGGACTAATAGTTCCACGATCTTGGCTTCAGGGGGCTGAAGATGTCACTAGTATTTATGACATCTATACAGGCGCTGCACAACAGGCTGAATCTAAGGATGTTGAATTGCGTCCGCAAGGCCAGCAAGACATTAGTAATGCTATGAATTCTATAAGGCAAGAACAGACAATACCAGCACCTGACAAAAGCGAAGCGTTTACGGCTCGCGGTCGCATTCTTTAAAACCCAGCATTTTCCGCGAAAAAAAATTGGATGAACTCCCTTACGCTCATACTGGGACCCATGTTCGCTGGCAAGTCCACAGAGCTCGTCGGCATCCATGCCCGGCTTGTAGCTGCCCATAAGCGCGTCTTAGTTGTTAAGCACACCTTTGACACTCGCTATGATGACAACTCCTTGACTACTCACGACAACACGAGGATAGCTGCGAAGAGAGCGGTACTTCTTGGCGAACTTGCAACAGAGTTTGGCGACTACGATGCCCTTATAGTAGATGAAGGCCAATTTTTTGCTGATATCGTCTCAGGTGTTCAGGATGCACTCTCGAAGGGGCTTTATGTGTACGTTTCGGCCCTTTCGGGGAACTTTAAGCGCGAGCCCTTTGAGCTGATACCGCGGTTATTCCCCCTAGCATCTGCTATTTATCTCCGATCGGCCATATGTGCAATATGCCATGCCCCTGCGCCGTTCTCTGCACGATTCTCTGCTCAGACAGAAGAGATTGTTATCGGTGGGGCCGAACTGTATGCTCCTACCTGTCGCACCTGCTGGAAAAGTATAGCACATCAGCGGTCGATCAAGAAGGCCAGGCAACTAACTGACAGCGAAATCAAAAGCTTCGTAAGTGATGCAGCAGCAATTCTGGAGAGATCAGCTCTTACAGGGAGCAAATTGCTTCTTGTTCCAGCAGTTACAAGCCCTCTTGATGCAGAGCTGCAATGTGTCTACGCGTCCGCCTCAAGTGCAGGCCAGAATATCCTGGTGATAGCCCGGGAGGAATCTCAGGAACTGAACGAAGCGGCAAGTACCTTTGGATTTACTCTTAGATACGTCGATTCACTCGTTCAGTCAGAGTCGGAGGACGATTGCACTATCAATAACGAGGTTAAGCATGCCATGGACCCGCACTCTATCGTCCTTGTCTACCACGCAGACTCCTACGATCATGCTGATGTGGTTCTCGATGACTGCGTCTTCCAGGGTAAAGTCGTCATCGCAGCAACGTCTGCAAAGGCACCCTATCAGGTTTTAGGCAGCTTCCTAAGCCACGCAGATATTGTATCTTTTGGTTCGCTCACTAGAAACACAGGTGAAGGCCACGAAAAGCTAGGAGCGTCCGGGGTTTCCACTGAAGTGCCACGGTTCTTTAGAACATGCCTTGCAGGACTTCCACTCGAAAAGCTGGTGCTAGGGATCAACGAAGACCTGTGATGCATGGGCCTCATCACCTTGAAATTTCAGAAGCTCGGCTTGCAGAGTAACTTACCTAAACACCCGTATAGCCTCCTGAGAAACCGCTGGGTCTAGCTTGAGTATGTTAACTACACCCTCCAGCTGCCGATCTTTGTAGCAATCTGCCATGGCGAAGATCATGACATACTTAACGTTCTGACTATCTGTCTTGGCAGTCATAACTAGAAAAGATATCACGCGTTGCAGGGCCGCGTCCAGCTCTTGCATCTTTGGCTCAAGCACTTTCAGACCTTTTCCAAGTCTATCACTCAATGAATTTATAACCTCGGACAGTATACGATATGCAAAGAATAAGATCTCAATGGCGACCGCACGGTAGTAGTATCTAAGAGAAGTGAGTAGATGATCGCAGATATAAATAAGTTTGTTAACTGTAAGGTGCACGACAGTGTATGCTTCTGGTCGAAGATAAGCATCTAGCTTACTGGCAGCAGGAGACGAGGGATCAGGGAGCTTTAGATTGAGGATCCCAACGTCTGTGTCAAAAACCCTTGCGAACCATCCAGAGAATGCTTGAATACACGAGTCTCGGACAACTGCGACGCTGTCGTAACACCAAAGAATAATAGAGACAGGGATAGAGGACAGACAGTCTCTGTTCATGATGAGGTCGTTGCTCTCGAGCAGGAGGTTCTCAGGGATAGCTGGGTTATACATACTGACGAGATCTGTGAAGTTATGCCGCGCTAGCATGTTCCACGTCGCTAGGCGAACCCGCCAAGACGGATCAAATAAGCCGTACTTTACGAGGGGCAATATATTGAGCGAAATGTGCTCCTTGTAGCTCTCTAGCACATGAAATGCAAAGTATCTTGCTAGTGCGTAGTTGGGTGTGACAGTAAATGGAAGGATTGCTTCGATGCACAGGGAAACAAAGTCTTCAGAAGGGTCTTCGAGGGGTCGCTTCACAAAGTAGGCAAGGAGCTGGTCTATCTGGTGAACAAGTTCAACGAGTAATAGCTTAGTCAGCTTTGTAATGGGCGCACCACTCATATACGTTATCAAGCTACAATTGGATATGATAATATGCTGGTCACTGGAGTGCACTGGGCTGGTGTCTGCAATATCAGGTTGAGATAACTTAACCTCAAGATTAAGGTGGTTAAGTATTTGCAGTATGACCTCTCGGGGAACGGTGCAAACCGTAATAGCTGTCTGGTTGATAAGAGTCATGACATTTTTAAGGATGCTTGAAGTAAGAGCAGCAAGGCTATACTCTGCATCCATGAAGGATCCTATGCACCCCAGAACTCTAGTAATATGCAAGATCAAGGTCGGACTAACCACTTCTCTGGGACGGTCGGAGACGTTCTGCTGCCCCTCGATTTCTTTGCAGATATTGATAATCTTTATTGTAATGGAAAGTATGACATCTAGAACCGCTTGGTTGTGCTCTCTAGTGTGGTGTTTCTCATGTGCCTTAGCCGCCTTGCTGTTAGGGGCTATACTTAAGTTAGTTCCCAGCTTGTGCTGAAGACTAATTGCCAAGTAGACAACTGTCTCCATTATTATTTCTTTGGTGACTAGCTGTCTGTCGGCAGCCTCAAGTATAAGGGTTATCAGCAACAAGTAGGCCCCGACGTGGCAGGGCTGTACTACGACAATCACAGACAGTGAATGAAGTATAGATGTGAGCAGGTCAGCATTTTCATATGAAATTTTGGCCGCTGGTGCAGAGAGGGAGGGGACAAGATCATCCTTTAGCAAACCCTGGAGACGCCTCATGAGGTTCTGAGTATACACAGGCGTCAAATAGTTATTCAGCACGAAGTCTGCTCCAATAAGTTGCTTGAAAAATAAATCAATGATATGGCTAAAGTCAATGTGACCGGAGAGGCCGAGAATATATACTTGTCTTTCGTCATCGCTGTAATTGAGCAGAAAGTCCCCGGTCTTCATGCGCACATGAACCTCCTTTCCACACAGATCGGTCTTAGAGGGAATGTCAAAGAGCTTCTTCTGAATAGCCTCCATCTTATCCTCAAAGTATTTAGGCATTGATGATAGAAAGATGGGTCCATAAAGTTCGCACAGTGAGAGCACACCGTCCGCAATCGGGGCAATTCCCTCTGCAAAGGTCACCTCCTGGACAATATTCCTGATCAGTTCAGTTATCTTGGCATCTGTTATTCCTGTTGGGGTATCAAAGTTTTGCAGAAAGTTGTCCTGGGGATCAGGCCCCACATAAAAGTAAGGCAGTAGAGCAAGAATGGACAGCTTAGGGGAAGAGCGCACTTCATCAGGAGACTGGTAGCTATTCATAAAGGTACACATGCTATCGAAGATCTCCTGCGGGGCAAAGGGGATAAGCATGCGTATAGACTGAACAGAGTAGAGGATAACATCATACATAGGATGTGTCGTGGTAGAAAACAGGATCTTCAACGCCTTAGGGAGGAGCTCAAGGAAGAGTTGTCGATCATCTGCCAAAAGTACCACGATTTTGCGAACACATGATAATATCATGTTAATGAGGTTCCCCTCTGAAACGATATAAAGCTCATACAGGTGGTCCAGGATGTGATCAGAGTCTCGAGGGTTAGAGAGGGCATACGCAGGTAGCTGATCAAGCGTTTGAGATACAACAGCCGGGATCGTCGAATTAAGGGAGGCAATTATGGAGTTGAGGCTCAACATGACCAAAAACTGACAAAGACTCTTTCAGGTTTCTTCCAGGTTTATCTTGCAAAGAATAAGAACCGGTCTACGAAATCCGTAAATGAAGGAAATGAACTTTCTTTGAAATTGCATAATTAGGGTGGAATTAAATCATGACACAAGTCAGGACAATTGTACGGTCTCGAGAAGACGGTGCGCGGCGCGGAGGCTATAGGACGGCAACCACAGGTCACGATCACTTCCAAGTCGAAAAAGAGTTTGTTCGGGCTCTCACTGCAGCCAAGCTGAAGCAAATGTTTGCCAAGCCTTTTATCAGAGCCATGAACGATCACGTTGACGGAGTTTATAATATTGCACGCCACCCTTCTTCTATTACCACATTTGCCACGGCCAGCGTTGATGGATCTGTTAAGATCTATGACATCTCCTCTGGTGCGCAGCTTAGCTCTCTCACAGCTCACACTGGCTGGATTACCGGAGTTTGCTTTCCGGCGTGTACTGCTGACATGATGGTCACCTGTGCACGTGACTCTTTGTTGCGTTTCTGGAAGCTCCCAGACATATATGCCCTCAACGATCAGTCGGTGCCACTTCATAGAAGAGAAATTCAGCTCATCTCATCCATTAATCTGGAGGCGTCGCCGGCCGGCCTGGCGCACCATGCAGCGGATCGGAAGCTCGCGCTGGCTACCCCTACCGGAGTCCACATCTTTGACCACGAACGCCAAGAGGCGCTTGCTTGTCTGACATACTCTGATGGGGGCATCATGGACTCCAGCTTTTCTACCGTGCAGTTCAACCAGGCAGAGCAGCATCTTGTCGCAGCGACTTCGGAGACATACTGTGTCTTCTTTGACGTGCGTGTGCACCGTCCTGCCTTTCGGTTCTCTTTGTGGAGCAGGCCGTCGTGCATCACTTTCAACAACTACTACCCTAACGTGCTTGCTATCGGGGCCAACGACGGGTACTGCTACTCCTTTGATATAAGGAACTTTAGCCGCAACGACAATTATAGAGCACTGGACAGATTCACAGGAAACACTGGTGCAGTTCTGTCGTGTGCCTTTTCCCCAGACGGAAGCGTCCTAGCGACGGGTGGTTATGACAAGGCTGTACGGCTGTATGATGTACGGACCGTTGGGCCTAACATGACTCTGAAGAACCACCGTGGTGAGGTCATCTTCCAGTCATTGGAGACGGCTGGGCTTCCCATGGGGGAGACACGCGACAAGTTGGAAATGGCTGAGTACAGCAACCAGGAGACCATGTGCTCCGATGTTAGCAAGTCGCGGAATCACCCTTTCGCATTTAACATACAGCCATACGACACCTATCATAACCCTCGCATGATGCGTGTCTGGGCACTTGCATTCAGCGGCGATGGGCGCTTCCTACTTACTGGGTCGGATGATGCAAACCTCCGTGTGTGGAAGACTAGAGCATCTGAGTCACTGAAGACCTTGACGAGGTCAGAAGCAGACGCCATCGACTACCGAGAGACGTTAGTCAACAAGTTCCAGAACGTGCCAGCAGTCCGGCAGGTGTTAAAGAGTCATCGCTTGCCTCACCTCCTTACTGTTGCACGCCGACGAGCAATCATACACAATCAAGCCGAGCGGAGGAAAGACGAGAACAGACGTACGCATAGACACGAGGAGGTGCCGTCTGCGGCTTCCCGTGTTGTTCACAGCGTTGACAAGTGACCACGGGTGGCATACTATAGTCAAACCGGGTCTGCTGATTGGTGCTGAGGACTCACTCTCATCCCGGAAAGCAATTGGCTAAGGTTTGAGCCCATGCAAAGCCCTTTCCTGTAGGAGCACGCCCAGTGAATCATTGGGTCTCTGCTTGCAACGCTCCTGGCTGAACTTTAGCCAATTACGTCTGACAGCCTTTACTAACCACGGTATGTGTTAACTGAAACACATAATTAATTATAGTGTAAAAAGCGTGTAGTTTTTACATATTAGTTTTACATATGTTCTTGGCCGTGCTGCTCCTCTCTGTGGCCATCAGTGCCTACACGGTGACCTTCGTTGCGGATCCGCACTACGACCCTCTCTATAAGGAAGATTCCAACCCCAGCGAGAATTGCCGCGTCAGTGGTGGTGCAGCACCTAATATAACTTATCCGTATGGCCAATACAAATGTGGAGCAGTTGACAAAGCGCTGGATGTGCTCGTGGATGCTCTCCGTCAGACAACTAAGACGTCTAACATCTCTTTCATGATCGGCGACGCCATCCTAGGTAAGCATGCAAATCGTGAGGACCATGACCAGGCGATTAAATCCTTGTATGATAAGATTCGCAGCGGAATCAACGGACCTCTTTACCCCGTACTGGGCAACACCGAGTTCTATGGGATCAATCATTCATCATCCAACGAAGAAATTCTCTCACAGATTGAGAAGCTTGGTAAGCTTACCGGCCTTGAGAGTGTTTCTCCATCGGCGTACAAACAATTTCTTAACGGTGGCTACTACTCTGTTAGGGATGGCAGACTAAAGTTTATAGTCATCAACACGGGGCTGTATAACTCTCTTCAGAAGAGGGAGGAAGAGGATCCTCTTGGGCAAGTGGCCTTTGTTAAGGCGGAGTTGGAGGATTGCCGTAAGTCTAAGTGTCGGGTGGCAGTAATACAGCACATCCCCTTGATGATGTCCACGTACACTGGTACATATACCATGCAGCAAAGGTACTCTGATGCTCTAAGGCATTTGTACTGCGAATATTATGACGTGGTAGCGAACATTCACGCTGCAGAGGATCACCGCGACGAGTTCAAACTGATTTACTGTCAGAGCAACGCTTCAGGAATCCCTCTCTTCATGCTGCCTGCCATCTCTCCGAATAGATACAATAACCCGGGATATAGACAGGTCGAGCTTTCGCCGAAGACCGGCAACGTTATGGACTATGTACAATACTACCTAGACTTAGGGCTGGCCAACATCAAAACGCGTACAGAAAACGTCTACACAAGGCATCGTACCGGACATAATGTTCCAACGGCCACTTATAATCTCGAGTACCGCTTCAGTGACGAGTACGGCTCTTCCATTGCGAAACACCTAAACGATCAGGAACTTATAGTGGCCTCCATGAAAACTGAGGGATGGGGGACATACACCCCCATGCGCGCTCTGTACCTGGCCCTACAGAATGACCCAGATGTTTGGAGCGTCTTCCACTCTCATATGAGCTCACTGTGTTACGACAAGAAGATTTCCTTTATCTGTGCGGCTAGAGCCATTACGATAGAGTCATACAAGTCATGTTTAGCCAAGTTGCAGTGATCAGTAAATCTCTGCTCTTAAAAGGGAATAAAGCCTGTAGAGTGCGCAGGCTAGCTCTTTCCGGTTACTTGCTGTCTTCAGTCTCTGAAGAACAGTCAGATATGTTAGCAGATTGACATGCAGAAGCGAATCTAGAATTCATGATGGTTCCGGCGACACGGGCTACTGAGTCCGTCGTTGGGTTCCGCACTTTTGCAAGACTGTTCATAAGATGTTCTACTGCGAAGGCAAAGGTTGCCCGCTCTATCAAGAGATTCCAGGAAATAATTGAAAGAAAAGCCTGCTGTAAAAGAATAACTTGTTGGAGATTGAACTTATTCTTCGATATGATGACCCACGACTCCAGGGTTGGGGATTCTCGACAAACAAGGTCGTATGATATCATAATAGCACTGAATAAATATCGCCTAATATTGCGGGAATTGAGGGATCCTCGGACTTGATAGTTGATTCGGTTAACTAGGCCACATGCGTAGACAACCACCTCTGCTGGAGCCTGAGACCGTCGGATGATCATAATCGCGAACTCCTTTAACCTGTGCTGAATCGAAGAATCTCTGAGAAGCTGGGCCATGGCAGTTGCAACGCTCGCACCAACCTCCACTGTTTCAGCCTCAAAGAACTCGCGAAATTCAAGCTCCTCCCCGTCCCAATGTCTCATGCAGTCTATTTACGTTTTAATTGCATTTGTCCATTCCGTGTAATTCCTATGCAATTCAACTGTAGACTCCGGCGGTTTCCGGTCGCACCTTTGTCTCAAGGATGAAGTACATTTTTGATCGGATATTTCTGGAAACTCATGAAGCTGGCACTGAGGAATGTCCGGCCTCGGATATTATCTCTTCTACACGTATTTCAGCAGACACTGGTCCAGAGCCTGAGCAGAGGTGCTGTGTTGCGAGGCCTGTAACAGTATTACAAGCAGCTAAATCGGATTCCTATGCGTCTAGACGAGAACGAGAACTGCATAGCGAGATTCAAGGGGCTGAAGTGCAGTGCAAAATTCTGTCTACAACGATACACAAAACAGGACCTGTAAAGGTATTTAGTACGGCAACAGATGAAACTGTGAGGGTGTCGACGCACCAAGTTCCTATTCAGCAGATCCGACGCGCAGAGCCGTCCCCAAAGCGTCTAGTGCCAATCCACAACGTTATATCAAATAAGGACTTTGAGGTGACGCGGATTCCTCGGCCTAGTCACAAAGAATCTTCAAGGGATGAAATACCCGAAGTAGACTTAGTTTCCACCTTGACCAGAAAAACCCCAATACTTACTTCCAAATGCATGGAGAAGTCCACTCTGCACGGTTCACATACAAACGAAGAAGAATCTTCATTTCTTGAGAGTAGCATATCAGATTGCAAGCGCGTGTTGTCATCTGCTGGTTGTAGCAGCAGAAGCTGTGGTAAACCGTTTCCACATGAATCTAAAGTGCCTGCCAGTAACGATTCCGATAACGACTACCTTTACACCGTTACATCCACAATTAAACACCCCAGCCTAGCTATTGACGATGTCCGCATATTCGAAGTTAAGAGCGCCGTTGACGAGCGTAGAAAGAAAAAGGACTACACCGATGGGTCATGGAGTACTATCAAGATTGATATGCCTCCGAGGGGTGCTGTTCGGGATGCATCGACACCCTTCATGGCAAATACATCTCCGATGGAAACTAATAGGTACGCCCAGGGCAATAATAACGTTAATATGACATTCAATAGAGCAACTGCTGTACGAGTAACACCTACCAAATCGAACTCCATCGAGATACCGGCGAGCTATGCCAGTCACAGGGTTGAGGAAAGTACGCGTGCAATTCATGACGTGAATACTCCAGTAGAGCACCCTGTAATGCACTCAGGAATGTATGACATGGTGGAGAATGTTAGCGAAGACGAGATCGACACAGACTACCGAGTGGTGGATGCAAGTGTGTCCGGTAGTGCTCACTCCGATTACTCTGATGAAAACTACTGCGTACAATCTCGCATGGAACGAATACACAGACCACCCATAAAGGAAAACACATATTCTGTTATCAAAGGTACGGCAGCGCGAGTTCCTGCTCCTATTCCCACCACCCTCCAAGACGGGGACAACCTCCGATGTTTTGTGCTTACGTTTGTGGACACAGAGCCCAAGAAGTTCAACTAGAACTCTGTTTGTCCCCATCCATATATAGGATGGATAAGCTCACCGTACATCAAGTAAATTACTAAAGAGTACGTCTGCATCATTCTGAGAATCGGCATCAAATTCCGTGATAACCACATTTCTGCCTGTAATGTCAGTCCTTTTAATGGAGTGTGGTCTCAGTGGCTTCTGAGGCACTCCATTGCTGTGATAGGCGCCAGTGACGAAACCTGCACCAGTTGAAGGTGGGCGATGTACTCGAAACTCTAATCGATCAAATCTTAATAGATTGGAAGCTCCCTTTGTAGCCAAATCATACTGCGTAACTCTGGGTCTGTTTCGTGTGCAAGACGCAGTCATTACCATTGGCTTGACTTCCGGTGGCGGGCCTAGCGCCATTATCTCCTGTCTGAATTGCTTTGCGGTTCGTCTGGGATTAAACGGAAGCAATGCCTGTGGCCGTGCCAAGGGACTCTTCGCCGTTAGCGGCACATGTTGACTAACTCTGGAGCAGTGCCCTATCCCAGTTGCCTTGGTTGTGCACATAGTAATAGGAGATTTAGGGTCACATTTTGCCAGTGACGCTTCTTCATAAGTAGCTGGCCCCGGTACTTGACCCTTTCTTCCCGGTATTTGCTTAGACTCTGAGACAGTTGTGTCCATTGGCTGTGCAGGATCGAGAGGACTGCATCCAGCGCGTGTAGAAGGGTTATGTGGGAGAGAGTGTCTTGTGGAGATAGAGTACACTCGTGGGGGGCGGGGCACACTGGCAGGCTTTGTAACCTGGTGACTGGTGTTATTCACGCATACGCTTTGACGCAGCGGGGTACTGACAACAAGGCTCTCACAAGGAGATCCTTTCCACTCAACTGTAGAGTTTGTTGGCGGAGTAAGTGCGTGCAAAGGCACAAGAGGACTAGAGACACTACTGTTCTGTAAGCCATTGGTGCATCCAATGACAACCATGGAATCACGTTGCAACGGAGGATCTGCGAGGGTATATTGACGGAAGTATAGAGGAGACTCAAGGACACTTCGGGCAGATGAAATGGATTTCCTCGAACAGCTAATTGGTAGTTGAGCCTCAGTCGCTTGTGGTGAGGCACACATAAGAGATGGTCTATCAGATGCAGATCCGTTAGAAATAGGCCGTCTCACCGGACGATGCTCTATCTTTGTCAAAAACGTTTCTGCCTTCCTTTCTTTCCAGGCCTTTTCCAGACGGTTACCAACTTCAAGTACCTCCCTATATGGTATAGAGGCAGGCGAGCCTCCATACAGAGACATTTTACAGTAACCGACAACGCTGCACCTAACAATTTTTAAATCAGAATTTATTAGTAACAGTTCTATTGCTCTATTGACATCTAGATTGCAAAATTTGCCAGCTTCGGATTATTGAGGAGATTAAACGCTTGCGTGAACTCTGCCTTCATATGCTCAATATCCTCGTTCGCCTCCTGTTCCATCTTTGCCGATTCAGCCAAATACCCTGAAGCTAAAGAGTTCAGCCGCCTAGAGTTTTTAAGAGATTTGAGCAGCATCTTTACAGCGTCGTAAGAGCATCCAATGAGTAGTTGTACCTGCTCTGGCAAATGTGTAAGGACACCATCCTTGACGCCATTACCCATCGAATCTATCAATGGAAGTGTTACGTGGCCTAATTTATAATAAATCACAGGAGGAGACACAGCTCCGTCAACCTCAGTAGTAGCGCCGGAAGGCTTTTTAGGGTCTGCTGGCTGCTTCTTCTTGTCCTTATCCCTCAATGGAGAGGCTTGCTGAGTCTGGTCTCCAGACAAGCCTGCTTTGTACTTCAACAAGTGCTGTAGAACATCGTCTAGATTTCGACATGTGAGAGTAGAAAGGATCTGAGGCTCCTCCAAAAGAATACTCTTCCCAGAAAAGGTATTGAAGAAAATTTCGAGCTGAGTAGCTTCTGCAGTAATAAAATCAAGGCCGCTCGACGGCAAAATGGCGCTCTGGAGACAGCCGGTTTGTGCTGCCTCCTTTACTTTTCCACTAGGAGGTTGGTTCTGGTGTGCAGTGGAAAAAGCTGCAGTAGGCTCTGTCTCAAACACGGCCTTTCCGGAGTTAATTGATGCTTCAATGTGCTGCATCACTTGTACAAATGTGGCCGAACAGGACTTTATTTCTGACTCTGAAGAGACGCACGAATCTATCAGTATCTTGGTTGACTGTTCATCACCCAACAACTTCACCGCCATAGAAGAGGATGGTACAGTGGTATTAGCGACACTCGCCGCAGATGATGCTCCGCTAGTTGGTCGCTTTTTGCCAGCTGCCTGTGCCCTGGCAGACCCATCTATTGTGCTTCCAACAGGTGATAAGAAAGATAACAACTCTGAGATTTGCAAGGATGCACAATATGATACTCGGTTGTCGCCGGCCCACGATGGATATAGAGATAGCAGAGTGGCTGGAACAGTCACAAGAAGGCAATTAGATATAGAGAGAAGTGTGAGTAGATCCTTATTAAGAGAGTTCAGAAGGCCCTGGCTGGTGCTAGTATACTCTGATAATGACGTTTTGATTTCCTGCTGCATGCCTAAGGCTTTTTCAGGAAACTTAATCAGAGCCGGCCTGAAACTATCATAAATCTTAGCAAACCTCTGGGAAAAAGCGTCACAATTGTTTTTATATCCTTCCTTGTACACTTTCCACGCTCTCTCAATGGACCGATATGTGATCTCAAAGGAGCACGCACTAAATTGTTTGATTAATGTATCAAAAAGCTTGTCGCGTTGGACCATCAAGTCATGAAGCTGAGTGCGCGCTTCAGTAACTAGCTGGTTTATGCTGTCATAGGCTTCGCGGTAATAGTGCTGTAGCAACGAAAGCTCATCTTGAAAGGAGGAGTCTTTGAGGCGCTTAATCTTCATGGCAGGCAGAACCATCTGCTGCGTTGGCGAGGCAACGCATTCCTCCACAGGTGTGGCAGGCCGTAGATCCTTTTTTGAGGACTCTGCTGTCGAGACAATCTCCATTCCATCCAATTCGCGCGGCTCTATTACTGGTAGTTGCACAGTAGCCAGCTCGTCATCACGAGGCACATAGATGGGCTGAAAGAGGGTGTACGTGGAAAACATCTGCTCCAGTTCTGCCTGCAGCTGAGTGCAGATGTCACATTCGATAGAGGTATTGTAGAATGCTTTCATCCCAGGTTTGTAGTTAGTCGCTCGAGAGAAAAACTGTTGGACCTTAGAGAAAATGGTGCTGGGGAGCTCTGAAATGTCTGCAGCATGTAGGTCGATAGTTCTGGACACTAGATTGGGTTGTTGTGTTACTAGTCGTTTTGGAGAAGAGCCTCTGGTGGGTGAAATGCGATAGCCAGGTGGAGAGCAAAATCGCTCTCGCACTTCTTCCTGATAGGTAAACGGTGTCTGCAAAACTGTGGCCGAGCACAGAATGTTCAGAACAGCTACGATCGCACCAATAAGTGCCCCTGCAAAAGAGTTAAATGCCTTCGACCTTTGCTTAAACAAGTCATAGGAAGTAAGAAACGTGTGATGCCTGTTAATAAGTGAGAGTTCAAATGGGTAGAATACGAATTGCAAAACAACCGTATAAGACAAGTAATAGGCTATTTGTTCAAGCTCGAAGCTAGCTTCTATTGCAGAAAGAGTATTAGAGAACACAGAATTTAGCGATGTCTTGTTTGGGCACTTGGCTGTCTGCATGAATATCTCTCGTATCGCACTCATCCGTTCCTTGAATAAGAACAATCTATTTAGGGCCATTGTTTTAATGGAGATACACTTCTTCTTCATCGCTTCTACTGTTGACACCTTGGCAGAGTATTCCGAATTAGCCAGCTTGACAGCCTGAGAAACGTTTTGCATAAGGTATTTGAAAAATAAGAGATCAGTGTGAAGACGACTGTAAGCCTCTTCTCGAAGCATGCCTATCGTTGCAAGGAGCGACTGTGAGGCTGCTATAGCAGGATGGATCTTAACGGTGCTAGCAGCAGTATCAACTAAAGGCTGAACTTCTCCGTAATTGTTCCGTAGCAAACTTACCGCTAAGTCTGCCACGGCAAAGTCAAAGGGGCCTGCACTATCAAGCCCAGACCATCCTATTGCTTGCTTTGTAAATGATTGCGTAATGCGCTCGGCAGAGTTTATGTCATTGTGAATGAGTGTTGAGAAGTTCTTTTTAAGGAGAACTTTGCATTCAGCAATAAACGCGTCACAGGCATATATGATGGTACGATCAGCTTGTTCTGGGAAAAGGAGTATGTTTTCATTAACGACTGCATCAAACTTTGTTTTGTATGCGCTTTCTGTGTGCTTAAAGAGTGGGTGGGATGCAGAAAGCTGTTTTCTTAGACGCAATGACGTTACTATTCCTCTGGATGAATCAAACGTTAATTCAACAAAGCGGTCCAACCGCTTGGCTGATAAAAGGGCGAGAGACTCCTGGAACAGACGCGCCTCTCCTGTGGAGGATACTGTTTGCTTTCCTCTCGATGGGGCTCGAGCTCCAGATCCACTGGCAGACCGAGACCCCGAAGGCGCTGCAGCACCTACAGGTACCTCTGGGGTGACGGTGGCATCCAGAATACGCTTCCGCAAAGACAGTATCGTAGACATTGCTCGGTTCAAAGTTCTGTACTCTACCCCAACATACTTGCTGCATCGCGATTCTATCTGTGCGACTTCTGAATGTAAAAGCTTCACAGTGTAGGGTACTAACGACGTGCGCAAGTCGTCAGAGATGGTGAGTATTCTGCGGATGTTGCCCATACTACGGGAAAGGATACTGGAGTACGTTTCTGCAAGACGAGACATTATAAGTGCAATAACGTGAGTTGATATGTTTCCAAGGACAAGCTTTATTGCTAGACTATCAGAAGACGTATAGGAACGGCAGTCCATGATGATATCAGAGGTTGCATTTGCCATTGCATCTGCTTGCTGACTTTCTAAGCTGTGAGCTGCAGAGGTGGAGCCTAAAATATTGGGAGGACCCACCATTCTTTGTGACTTGGAGCTCCCTGGAGATATAATGGACCGATATCCAATCGAACATGCCAAGTCATTCTGCGACTCTTCAGCAGAGCTACATGGCCTTGCAAGGGTTAGAAGCTCGTCAATCCTATCCTTATTGCGTGCTGCAAGAGAATTTTCTATTATCTGAGAACCCATGTTGGGAGATTGTCGATTGCCCACAGTGTTCTTACTAGAGAGACGCTTCTCACTGTTGGCAGAAGCAGTCAGTCTCTTTCCTTGACAGCTCAATGCTACCACGGTCTGCTTCAGCTTTGTGAGAGTATCTCTAGCTCTGTCGTAGACGCAATCACTAAACATCAAGTCGTCCACACTGACAGAGTACTTAGGTTGTGAAACTATTTTTTCAAAGTTTAGCAATGTTGGAGATTTAGTAAAGGCTTTCAACAATGAAGACTTTGGCGGGGGTTGAGAGACGGCCTTTTTGGCATCTTTTGTGGAGGAAGGAGGTGCGGCTGCTGGGGGAGAAAGAAGTGGATTTGTTGAAACAGGCATATCTTGGCCAACCGTAAGGGGGACAATTTTTAGGTGCTCGAAGTCTAGGACTGTGTAGACGAGCTTTAGATATACGTCGAGTTCATCAAGGGGGCGTTCGTCTGGAACCTTGATTCCTGCAATGACCGCTTCTACATAGTCTGGAAGTTGTGTAGCCAACACGGGCTCGACAGGCCTTTCATCTTCATCATTTCCATCCGGCCTTGATTCTGGCCTTGATGTACTGGTCTTTGATTTTGGTGCAGCCTTGGCCTTTTTAGCTGTCTCCTTTTCCCATTCTGCCAGTGCAGAAGCATACGCCTCTGTTGCTACAGAGTTGAGCTTCTGGAGGTAGGCGCTTCTGTAAGAAAGAATCGAGTCTTTGAAATCGGAAACGGCCCTATTGTATGCAATTCGTTCTCCGTCCTTGTAGAGTAGACGAAGAAGGGAGTGGTACAAAATCAATCGGAGGTCGGCAGGTAAGTTTATGAAGACGCACACACACGTCTTATCATAGGGGACCTCCTTGGAGAAGAGAACCTGCTGATATCTAGGAGCAATAAGACTAAAAATAAGAGGCTTTTGTTCAGGGACTTGTGCGGCTTGCTTCCCTTTATCTTTCTCCTTATTGCCAGGCTCTGGTGATAAGAGCTGCGTAAACTCTGCCAGGACTTGAGCTGGGGTAGCTGCATCTTGAAAGTAGCTAAATCCGTATGCGCTAATATACGCCTTCATATCCACATCTTTATCAAAGTCAGGTGGCTCTAAAAGTAAATGGTGAGCTGAACTAGAATCTGACTCAGCGGCCTGGTCACTTGACAGTGGGCGGCCCTTAGAGGATGCCCGCTTCTTGTCCTGATTTGGTGTGGATGCTCGATTATTTGCTTTACTATCTGGCCTGACATTGGAAGGTGGATGCTGCTCAATTTTGTTGGGAACCGTTTTGGAATCGTCCTGTATGTGCTCGTGATTTTGTAGATCACTAGCTGTTGCCAATCGATTGATAACACCAATGTCTGCACTGCGTTCGCTGATGAGATCAGTCAGTTCTGTTATTTGATACTCTGCGCAAGACCAGGGCTCGGCCAGGGAGCCCGTTGGAAAGGGAACATCTCGTAAAACAACTGCAGCGCAATCTACCAAATCATCAACAGTGACATCCTGAACAGGATTCTTCACTAGTGTATCATTGAACAAAGTAACAGCAGACAGTAAGGTCTCATCCCTGTCCGCTATTGTGCCAAATAAGGTTAGAAATGCAGACTCCTTCAGTTCTAGACTAAATATATCCAGTAGCGTGTGTAAAACTTTATTCCCAGTAGGCGATTGATTGGTCATGTTAACAACTGCCTCTTCGCGTTGAACGATGGCGTGTTCCAGCGCATCAAGTAGCTTCTTGGAAATTTGCTTGATCTTTTGGGCTTCGGAGATATCCCACACGTTCTTCACACGCGTGCTGATGTATTCCAAGCATTTGGTGGATCTACTCCAATCACGAGTAAACCGCTCCTCGATAGCTTTCAGTGCGTCATCACAGAGCCTGCACCAGTTGTCCTCTAACAGAGTTGTGTGTTTGACTGCCGTGTCGGCCGCTGCACAGAGAGATATAATACACGCGATAAAAAACGAGTTAGCGTGTACTGTTCTAATCAGGGTTTCCTCGATAAGAGATAAGCGAAGGTCCCACCTTTTCTTCCAGTGAGAGAGGGTTTCCGTTATGAGAGCCCTAAGGTCATCACTCAGGATATCAAGCTGCTGCAATGATTCGAGTACATCCTTTGTGCTTTCGGCAAGTGACGTATAGACATCGTCGACTGTAAGCTTGAGTTCCTCTAGCCGGTACTGCACATCCTGTTTTCGCGGCAAGAAGACTGTCTTGACCAAGCGTACAGCCATATCCCTAGGATGCTCTGTTCTAATAGATAAGTCAGTAATGAAATTAAAAAGCGTTGATGAAAACTGTTGCAGTGCCGTATTAACGTCTTGGATGGCTGAAACCATCACCGGAGAAAACTCGTGCTCATGGTGAATGAAGAGTATATACTGTTCCACAAAGTCGTGAACAAGTTCCATTTTCCGTTGATGTATTATTCTACGGCACAATCCTCTACCATCCTCCATACACAACAGCGCTCTGTTATGACTGGATGTAATGAACATCAGCATTGAAGTACAGATCCGAGTGATTCGTTCCTCAACCTGGTGGACGATATCTCCAATGTATGCAAGGATTTCTCCCTCTGTGCAGCATGCATTACCAAGGCCCACCGAGAGCGTCTTAACAGCATCTGTAACGACCTCTCGAAGCATAGATGCTAGGCCATCGAAGCTTGAGCGAAGCTTTGTAAATACCATGATGACCTCGGCCTCTATTGTCTGCAGCGACGAATTCATTGCATAAGGCCGTACTCCTGGCTCTTTCACAAGTCGCAAAAACCGTGCGTCAACGCCTGACAAGTAATCCTGAAAAGTCATTCGCGCACGATCGAAATCGACATATAGGGACGAGAAGATTTTGTCAATATACTGAAGAAAGCTGTCAATCAGCGCTCGCCGTCGCTGCTCCAAAGAATCGGTATACCGTTGCATACGTGTGAGCTGCTGGCCTGCACTGTTATCGTATTGTTCAGAAGGATTGGCTGGATCCTGAGTAGCTAAAAGCTCAAATTTCAGGAGAGACCTACCGCTTAGGATGGTGGGGGGCTTGCCTGCCATCGAATACGATAACCGCGGGGGCTCTGGAAGCGAGCTGTTGGGCTTGGACGGGTCAGGTCGGACAATTTTGAGGGTTGTTGATGAGTTGGCCCATTCCTTGAGAGCTTCGAAGCTCCGGGGAAACTGCTTAATCGCGAACGGTTGGCTCTGGGTGCGCACTCCATCCTTTCTGGGTTTGGAGAAGACCTTTTCACAGTGGAAGCTCCTGTGCAGGTTTGCCCCATCTGCAAAAAGATCCATTCTTATTTTTAAAATACTTAATGAGCCTTACCACGGGGACAGAGTTAGACAGGGACTATAGGATCCTTCAGATGGCCGGACAAGGCGCCTTCGGGACAGTTTACAAAGCAGAGGCCGTGACCACGAGGGAGCTGGTGGCCATCAAGCAGTTAGATTACTCTGACTTCAGTGACTCCGAACGCGACGCCATGCGCCAAGAACTTGATGTAATGCCTCTTCTGTCCCATCCACACATCGTCAACTACAAGGCCGTAGTCATGGACACCAGAAACCAAAGAGCATATATCGTTATGGAGTTCTGCGAGGGCGGTGAGCTCTCCGAGTTTATTAGAATGCACAAGAACAAGAGGACGAAAATCCATGAAGAGATCATTTGGAAATTCATTGCTCAATTGGCGTCTGCTCTCAACTACATGCACAGTCCCTTCAAAAAGAACTCCACGGTCTCGGGGAAGATCATGCATAGAGACCTGAAACCGCAGAACATAATGCTGACGAAGACAGGGGACTGCAAGATCTGCGACTTTAATATGTGCCGCTCTGTGCAAACAGCCCGCGCCAAGACTCTGGCCGGGACTTTAGCGTACCTTGCCCCCGATGTCTGCTCGAATGTCGGCTATACCGAGAAAGCTGACATGTGGTCTCTCGGATGTATCATTTATCAGATGTGCGAGTACTCTCTTCCCTTTTATTGGAACGGCATTGAAGATATCCATAAAGATCTGAAGGACATACAGTATAAACCCATAAGCTCAGACTATAGCAATGACATGAAGGGGGTTGTTAGCTCTCTTCTGGTCCTGGATCCTGCTCTTAGATACTCTGCCAGCGACCTTTTGAGCCATCCCCGAGTCTCCAGGTACTTACCTGATCAGACAGCCCCCAGTCAGCAGCATGCACACCGCTCCCCACCTATTATCGCTGCACCACCGCCAATCTCGGATATAATGGCTCCGTGCCCAATTTATGAATCTGATAGCCCTGCTCCTGCGCCGGTGCTTAACATACACCCCCCACCGCCCAATCCCAGTGCCTTCTGTGGTCCCGGAAGCGTGGGACACCAGCATCCCAGCTACAAGCCGCCCACCAAGCAGCAAGCTCCTGTTGTCACGGGGCCCAGAAGCCTACAGAATGCAGGGGTGATCAAAACTCCTGCATATAAACCACCGAAACGCCTCTAAGCCCCTTAACTCAATGCTGTTACCTAATAAACAATGCATTTACCTTGGCAACAAATATTTGGAGGCGCGGTGGTCATAGAGGAGTGCGTAGATATGCATTACGCTGCCATGAGAGATATGTTGTCAGCAGACGCGTTACCAAAGTGTGAGGTGGATCTGGAAAGGGACATGTTGCTTGTAGACTTGCCGAGTGAGGACGATTTCATGCGTCCCGTGCCAGACTTACAGACGTAGATACGAAGAAGGAAGAAGATCAGTGCTGCAACTGCACCGACTAGAAGAATAGCAAAAATAGAGGTGAATGCAATGTTGACTGGTGCTGCGCGACGAGATTCGATTCTATTAACAACAAGAACACCATCCTTCGGCTCCGCGGACAGGGCTGCGGGGGAACGAATACAAATGCCGTCAAACTTTGTAAATCCGTTGTTACACATGCAGGTGTACTGGTCACCAGAGATACTGAGACACGTGTTAAGGGGCCCGCCACACATGCCCGCATCGTTCATCCTGCAATACTGGACGCTGCAGTCGGATCCTCCGAGCCCATTTTGGCAGGAGCACAACCCTCTCTTGCACTGTCCGCCATGTTTGCAGAACGAATCTTTAGTGCAGACGTTGCAAAATTGGCCTGTCGCATTGTCCTTACAGGAGAATGAATCCGGTGTGCTTTTTCGACTGGAGCACAGCGACCAAGAAGTGCAGGCCTCCATTAATATGTCGAAGACCGGCCGGTTGCGGAATGCAGAGTCAACCTTCCAGGTGCCCTTGACAACGCTGGCTGCGTCGCTGCTCCAACAGAACTCCAGGTTGCAGTCGTTGAAGAGCTGGATTGACACGTCTGCACCCTGGACATTACTGAGCCTGGCAGCACGGTAAGGCATCGGCGAAAGGAACGGGAGCCTTCCCTCGTCCATATACCAGTTGCTGCTGGGAGAGAACTTGAAGTATCCACTAGACCCTAGAGACTCCTGTCCATATGTGTCCACTTTGCATAATTCAGACAGTGTGAAGTTCTGCACAATGCCTTGAGCCGCAAAAGCTTTATCAAAGACATTACTAAGAGAAGGATCAGCGAGGGACATGACACCTGCAAAATCGGTAGCATAGAGGCAGCCTGTGCACGGCGTAGGCCTGGTCTTGCTAGTACTGAGGCCCCCGTACCAAGTGATTGTAGATCCAGACTTAGCAGTGCCACTGAAGGATAGAGTAGCCATAGAGTGCTTGGCAATGCTTGAGCTCTGGGCCCCAACAAACAGACCGACACCACACGTGGCATCTGAACTTGCCAGCGTTCCCTCAGCATAGCTATAGCGAATATCCATTAAGTTTGATATCCTTCCTGCATATCCTCCAACATTACAGGATTCTTCTGCTAAACATGTGACACCGTCCTGACACTTAACGTGTATATTCGCATACGACCAGGTCTTATCGCTATCGAAGGTGCCCACGCCTACTGTTGTAAAGCCAATGAATCCGCCAACGTTGTATGACCCTAGATTCCGAGAGACAGAAATCTTATTTGCAATCGAATAAGAAAGGTAGTGGCGTGACGTGTTTGAAAACCCGGTAAACCCGCCAATAGATGCATATCTACAATTGGTAATAGTTGCTCCAATGCTACTTGTGTCAGAATATGTATGGCGAACGGTGGAAAACTTGGTGTATCCAGATCCGCCGCCGATGTAAACATCGCCAACCTTATCGCTACTGCCTTCAACGGCTTTGCTGTAGACGATGTTTTCTCCTACCGCAAAGACAGTTCCCAAACGAGAGTTGATACTTATGCCTTGTATGCCACCGATGCCCGCCGTTATTCCGTGAGTCTTCACAGCGATCGTCTTATATGTGACGTAAGTGTTACGCATGCTTACATAAACCAGGGACCCCGCAACGCCCCCAACAGCCACCACGTGCTCCAGCTCGGTATTCAGGGCTTTATCAGACATTACGTCGACGTTGTTTAACACAGCGCAGCAGTCGTGTATCTCACCACCCATCTCGTTAACAGTATTTGAAACTGTTCTATGCGCGCCGACAATGCCGCCAACCTTTGCCGAGTTCTTGGTATAGACCTTAAGAGTATGGATTCGTACGTACGAGTTGCCTATAGACACGAAGCTATCGGATCCTCCACGCATCGCATCTCCAACAAGGCCACCAAGATGGATCTCAGTTGTATCCGATGTATCTGCAATGGCTATTGTGTCGAGGTACACACGGCCCCCGATAATCCGCCCAGCCGAGAGGGTCCCCACAAGTCCTCCCGCAGCAACGTGGCCTTTTCCGACCACCGTAGGAGACGCATAGGAAACACAGTCGTTGATGGTCATCCTGTTCACGATGCCGGCGACGCCTCCCGTGTGACAAGCGGAGGTGGCGTCAGACGAACAATATACCACTGAAGACGATGACAATGAGCGCAGCCTGACGCTCTCAGTGGGAGTGTTGTCATGATTGACAATCCCTCCAACTACGCCTCCAACGTAGCACTTGGAAGTCTCAGTAGCCGAGCAAGAGACATTCGAGGTTGTGCTGTCTATGTGCTGGATCGCCTGACAAAGACCCACAGCACCTCCCACAAAAGCACTTCCGCTGATTACTTTGCCCTTAACTAGTGCTGCGGAGGCCACAGAATACCGGAAAACCGCATTCTGGTAGACAACACCAACAAGCCCACCCACAGTCAAGTTAGTGACTGCCTGAGTGACCGTGGCGTCGACTATGCTCTGGCTACCAACGGCCAAGTCAGTGAAAGTGCACCCTCCTTGGACTCTCCCAATCGTTCCACCAACAGCAAAGTACTTCACAAAGATCGTGGTTGTCGTCAAGTTGACGTTGCTATAGAGGCCCGCACCAGCAACAGTATTGCACTTGTAGTCACCTACAGCACCCCCAATAAACAACCTCGCGTCTTTGTTGTTCCCCAATGAGGTTACGCTGAAGCTCCCCTCGACCCTAACAAGGTAGAAAACAGTGTCAATAACGCTACCTGCCACAATTCCGGCTCCCGTATCACTCTTTCCGCTAGGGTTAGCCATGGTTATACTTGCGTTGGCGACAAAAGTCACATCATAAATTTGGGCCATATTCAGTTGAGCAAAAAAGCCAACGTTGCCCGTCAGCTCTGCGCTGTCAAACGTGATATTGCGGATGCTTTTTCCCTGACCGTCAAGAACGCCTGTGAAGGAGCTCACCGGGGTCCAGGGCTGCGTGAGGACTATGTCATTTTTTAGACGGTAAAACCCGTTGAGATTCGTAGACATGGTACGCAGGTCCTCCTCTGTCATGACATCGACCACCTCCACCTCTACGGCACAGAGCATGAAAGCCAGAAGCCAGCAGAGGAGAAGTAACATTTTTTACTCTCGAATTAAATGAAGTTGAAAAATGTACACCGAAAATGTGTAAACTTATTAATATAATATTGCGCGTTTGATGCCTGTATGGCCCTGTGCCTTTTCTGGCGCTGCCTGTTGTCAAAATGGCATAGGGTTGCTAACTAAAGTTCTCTTTGTAGCCGCTCATCAGACGCTTCAGACGCTCTTCAATCCCCTTCTCTACAGATTGTACTGCTTGTAATGTGTCTGTCAACGATGTTCTTATTTGTGCCCCGATGGGCTGATTCGAATGGATCGGGGTCGCAATTTTGGGTTCGTGATCAAGCGCAGCTGCTTTGACAGCCTCCTGCGCAGAAACTATTCCCAGCTCTGCTACTCGCGCTACATCAGGTGCCATCACCCGAAGCCGCTCTAGGCCAGCCATTGTGTATCCTGTTTGATATCCCTGCATAGTATCGTCCTTGTCTTCAGTATTAGTTGCTTTAATTGCACCGCTAATCATTCGTGAAGCAGTGTCCACAATGCTGCTCACTGGGACCTCCTGTGCAGCAGGAGCGGGAGGAAGCTCGGCCGCAGTTTGAGGTAGGGTCACAGTGTACTTGTTATAGTCTGTAATATAGTTGTCAGCACTTGGTCCAGTAGTACGCGCACGAATTGCCTTAGTGAGGCACGCCTGAATGTCGTCCATGCAGTCTTTGACTCTTCTCTCGTCCGTCGTCAAGCCGGCTACAGTCCCCTTCTTACGGATTGCTTCCAGGACATCTTCTACTAAACCCAGCACGTGGTCTAATAGAGCAAGCGACTCCTCTCGTGTCCCCGGTTGTTCAGTAGGCTTTTGCATTTCGTGGATGGCATGAATGGCGAATGCACTGCCTGATTCTGCGCTTCTACGCATAAAATCTGCTGTTGCTTGCTCAAGGGGAACACTAGTTACATTTGTTTGATATGCGGGAAATACAACTGTTTCGGAGCCATGATCTGCAACCGCACGCTCCAGGTTCTGGAATGCAACCCGAAGAGAGCTAACGTCCAATTTTATTTCCTGCAAAGTAGCGGTAGCAGAGGCCAGCTGCTTTTTTAAACTGTCCAGCTCTGCTTGGGATGTAAGATTCTGATGCTGCAGCTTTTTGTGCGACTCCTTTATCTGTCTCACCTCGCTGACCTTTCCTGAACGCTCCTGTTTGAGTACCGTGTGCTTCTTTTCGATCTCTTTGAATAATAGCATCTTGGCCGATAGTTCTCTTTCCTGGCGCTGAAGCTGGCGAAGCTTTATTTCGTTCTTGAGCCTTGCGTCCACTGCTTTACGGAGTTCATTCACGAGAGACTTCACCTGTGCGTCTTCCAAAGAGCGGGACGCCGCTTGCTTGTTGTAATTCAACGCCGACGCTATGGCTTCTTCGGCTTGCCCCTTTATTTCGGCGTAAAGTTTCTTTTCTAACTGGCTGATATCCTCCTCGTGAGAGTTCAAAAGCCTCTTTATGTCAGCCACGGGGATTGCACTCTTGGCTAGAGATCCCGGTGCTGTGGTTGTTGTCCCAAGCGAAGCCGAGATTATCTTCCTTATGTCAGTAGCACGCTTCTGTGCGGCCATCATGTGTAATTCAGACACCAGAAGGGCCTCCTGTCCTTGACACTCTAGGTCTGTAATGCGCGCTAGAAGCTCGTCTTTGTAGAGAGTGGCGCGCTCTAGTGCTTGTGTCGCTGTTGTTAGCTTGTCTTTTAGAGCCTGAAGGTCCGACTGGGAGGATGGCTGAGGTAGATCAAGCGCAAGAGAGTCAATGGTGCTTACCACATCGTCCTGCTCCGACGTCTTATCCGTCATCTTTGCTTTTGGGGCGTCTAACCTTGCATTGGCCCTGAGGGTCTCGAGAAACCTATTTGCTAGCATAGCTGCTGTTTCTTGCTGACGGCTAGCATCAGAAAGCTGAGTTTTTGGGGAGATAACGACATTACCAACAGTCTGTAACGAAACTTGATCTTCCGAAAGGCCTGTGTTAGAGGTTGCAAGAGCAGACTCTGCATGTAAAGAATTGAATACGCTGGGGCTTATATTTGTTTCAACAACAGGATCTAGGGACACTATGTTGTGCTTTACCGATATTATATGCGCAGTATTGTCGACACCGCTGGAAGCCAGAGCAGCAGGGAACGCATCGGTGCTCATTGTGTAAACAGGACTATGTGCATCATGAACATACGCCTGGCCTGTGAGCTCATTCACCTCTTGGACGCCATACATAGCGGGGTCTACAACGTGCGTGATACTCGGCGGTTGGTCAAACAGCTCCACCTCTGGTCTCAAGGAAGTGGATGCTGGGGATACAAAACCTGCTGGTCTGGGCTGGGGCACTTGGGGAGGTGTCTTTTGCTCATGCATGGTGCTGTTAAATGAAGGATATGACCCGTCATAATGGGGCTCAGACGTCTTTGTGTACTTGTTTGAGTGCTTATCTTCATAGAGCATGCCCATGTCTGGTTTCATATCATCATCTTTAGTCCCTAAGTCTTGAGCGACAGGTAAAAGGGGAGAAGAGATCGAGGGGCGAGAGCGGATAGTAGCATCCAGCGCCTTTTGCAGTTCAGAGTCTATGAGATCTGTTACTTCTATAGGGGGGTTGACTGGCGGATGCATGCGATTCCTAGCTACCTTGGTTGTCTCAAGAGAAGTCTTGCAAATATGCAACATTGCTAAGAGTGTTTCAGCGTATTGACCAGACTCGCTGGAGCCATTAAACATTCCAATGAGGACGGGCCTAGCGCGAGCCAGAATGGGGAGTACAAGCTGAGTTATTGGGGCTGTAGGAATAGGGTTCGCGCTGATGAAGAACTCAACTGTCTGCCCACTTGATGCTATATCCAGCAGCCCAGTTGTTAGCGCATGAAGAACTGGCCCAGGTGTAGAGTCAATAAGGGTGACAGTAGAAATTGCCCCATTGGCTTGATTGTAAAGCTGTATTTTGAAGCACATGGTAGAGCTGCTAGGGGCTGGCTCCGCTACACCAGTTGTTTCTCTCTCAGTATAGTTCTTGCTAAGATTGCGGACATATTCCAAAAGCGTTAAGCTTTGGGCCTTGTCGGCCAGCTGGACCTTTGTAATCTTCATGTTGTCTATTGTCGACTCAAAATCATCTTCTGGTGCAAAGTGATCGATAATGACATCATCAAAAAGCTCAAACGCTGAAAAGGTGACCGAGTGGGATGAGTCAACTAACCCAGTTACCTCTGTGAGCAAGGCCTCAAGTATACCGGCCTGATAAGAAGAAAGCCTGGTCTTGCCCGTCCCCTGGGTCCCCATTACCAGGATTGTGGACGACTCCCCACTGGACAGTGTTCCCACGGTGGTCCGAGCAAGATTGTCCACAAATGCCTTGCTTTCATATGCTTCCACGATTGTGCTCATAGAGAATTGCTTCCGCCGTCCATCCTTGCCGCAGAGAAAAAGAGACGTGCCATCTACCTCTAGATATCTGGGTCGCGGGTCGGAAAGAACAGCGATTGCTTTAGTGGCGTACATTTTTAAAACATCGCCTGCCACGCTTACTGCATAATGGATCTTCCTCTTCCGTGTGAGGTAGCACCCTTTCCCCAGGCTCAGACTGAGTCCATGCGCTTCTGCCCCCCAAAGCTTCTGCCAATAATATCATCGCAGGTACTCAAAACAGAGGCTGCAAGCCGAGACGAGTAAGTGTAAATGTTTTCTATAGTTCACTCTTTGTAGCGTGCTTGTCTGCAGATGCAAACCGGCGTAGGGCAATCTTCCGTCTGTACTCATCCAGCTCTTTTGCAAATTGGCGGGTCTTCTCTATTTCCATCCGGAGCTCCTCCTCAACAGCAGCATTTTCCTTTCTTAGCTCTTCCAGGTCAATGCTTGGGGCAGTGAAGTAGCTGATTGGTAGGGCGTCAACGCTCTTTCGGATCTCTGTAAGGTGCTCTACGATGCTTTGCCCCGCCATTGTGCTGATTTCGATTGGTGTGGAAAGGGTCGTGACGTCTGCACCGCCTTTCACAGGAAGTTCGAGGCTTCTATAATACTCTGTCGGGAATCGCATGCCTAAACGGACAACCCCAACTGCACTTCCAGCCAGCTCCTTATCGTCATCTGTACCGTTCTGAGGTTGCTGCATGGGGGCCGGCTGCTGCGATGTCTCCAAGTGCCGAAAAGTCATAGATTGCATTCTATCGTCAAGTTCGTAGTTGAGTTCGTAGATGAGCTTCCACTCAATATTGGTGAGTGGGTCAAACGAAAGGGTGGGAGCCTGGCGAAGAGGGGAATCGTGCTCCTGGGATGCCATGTTTTTTATCCTTCGGTAAACCTGGAGCCTAGGCTTCATGGACAGAATAGAGCGCAGGAGCCTTATCACTCCTCGACAAGAAAGCGGGCTCCGTTGACCCCGTACGTATTCAAGAGATGAGTAACGTGCTTTGGCGTAATGATGTACGGTGGCTGGCTTTTGTTCATAGTACCTTGATGAATCGCTAATTCCAGAAGCTCCGTATAGAGGCTCTCGGTTATCGCATTAAGTATGAAGTAGGGGTCTGCCCGATCCAGCATACCCTCAGTTGCTCCTGTGTGCTCTGAAGTAAGGCGGGCCTCTCTATCGCAAAGGGCTACCAGCGCGTCTAGTGCTTCTCTGTCTAAGTACTCTCGCTTGGTAAAATCAGCCACCTGCATTGGTGTTTCGGCCTGATAAAAAGAATGGAGTAATTTTAAAATGGCCTTCACCCCGTATGTGCCACCGAGCGTGCTCCACATACCTCAGGGCCTACTGGACTTTCCTGCGATGGAGGAGGAGATGCTTAACTACTGGGACCAGATCCAGGCATTTGAGACGCAGCTCCGCCTCACCAGAAGCTACCCACCTTTCAACTTCTACGACGGTCCGCCGTTCGCCACTGGGCTTCCTCACTACGGTCATCTTTTAGCCGGTACCATAAAGGATGTTGTCTGTAGATATTATTCGATGAATCGTCGTTATGTGAATCGTCGTTTTGGCTGGGATTGCCACGGACTTCCTGTCGAGTATGAAGTTGACAAGATGCTTGACGTCAAGAGCCCTAGCGATGTCATCAATAAAATAGGCATCAGAAAGTACAATCAAACGTGCAGGTCAATCGTCATGAGATATTCGCAGGAGTGGGAGGCCATCGTCAAGCGATCTGGTCGCTGGATAGACTTTAAGCGTGACTACAAGACTATGAATCTTCTCTTTATGGAGTCTGTGTGGTGGGTGTTTAAAGAGCTATACGACAAAGGTCTTGTTTATGAGGGGACCAAGGTGATGCCATACAGCACGGCCTGTGCTACGCCTCTATCTAACTTCGAAGCCAACTTAAATTACAAAGAGGTCCAAGACATGACGTGTATCGTTAGCTTCCCAGTGATAGTACCAGACACAAACCGCGAGGTGGGTGGGACCGTTGATAAGAACGTGAATGAGGAGAAGATCTCCCTTTGGAAGAAGGTGTTTTCTCCTTTTCCCGAGGTACACCTAGTGGCTTGGACCACGACACCGTGGACTCTACCCTCCAATCTTGCTCTTTGCGTCAATCCTTCTCTAGCTTATCTTCTTTGCCGACGAGTGTTGGATTCTGATGGCGGAAAAGCTGAGAACTCACCGTGCTATCTCGTTGCTGAATCTCTTGTAAAGACCCTGTTTCCTCCTCTGGTGGACAAAAAGACGAAGAAGGAGACCCCTACGCATGAAGTTCTCCACCGGCTTGTTGGCCAGGACTTGGCAGGTCTGCGTTACAACCCCCTTTTCCCGTACTTTAAGTCCTCATATGGAGCGAAGCATGCTTGCTGGAAGGTTGTCGCAGATGACTATGTAACGTCAGACTCTGGAGTGGGCATAGTCCATATTGCTCCTTTCTTTGGCGAGGACGACTACAGAGTTGGTTTGGAAAACAACATTATCGTGAAGGATGGAGATATCGTTTGTCCTCTGGACGACTCTGGCAACTTCCTCCCCGACGTTGTTGACTTTGCAGGCCTCTATGTTAAGGACGCCAACAAGCCCATATTAAAGTATCTCAAGGAGGCCGGCAGGCTTGTCTCCCAGTCTACATGTACCCACAGCTATCCCTATTGTTGGCGCTCAGACACTCCTCTAATCTATCGGGCGATTCCCTCCTGGTTTGTCCGGGTCGAGCAGATAAAGGATTCCTTGATAAGGAACAACCTGAAGGCCTCTTGGGTTCCAAAGGCAATTCAAGAGAAGAGGTTCCACAACTGGCTGGAGAATGCCCGTGACTGGTCTATAAGTCGCAACCGCTTTTGGGGCTGCCCGATTCCCATTTGGATGTCAGCCGACAAGACCCAGCTGAAAGTTATTGGAAGTATCTCGGAGTTGAGTGAGCTGACTGGGGTTCCTCTGACCCGAATCAGGGATATCCACCGGGACTATCTCGATAACATGACAATACCCGATCCGCGAGGGCCGGACTATCCCCCAATGAGACGCATTTCTCCTGTCTTTGACTGCTGGTTTGAGTCTGGGTCTATGCCCTATGCGCAAAAGCACTACCCATTCCATCCTGATTACAAGAAGGCACAGGGCGTAGACGCGTTTCTCAAGGAGTTTCCAGGAGACTTTATCGCTGAAGGCCTTGATCAGACACGAGGCTGGTTCTACACACTTCTCATTCTCTCAACAGCTCTCTTCGACAGCCCACCGTCCATGAACTGCATCGTCAACGGTCTTGTCCTGGCGAGCGACGGCCAGAAGATGTCCAAGCGTATCCGTAACTATCCGGACGTTAACCACATTATCAATACCTATGGGTCCGATGCACTTCGCCTCTATCTGGTAAACTCCCCTGCGGTCCGTGCTCAAGAGCTGCGGTTCCGTGAGGAAGGTGTAAAGGGCGTGACGAAGGACCTGTTTGTTCCTTGGTACAATAGCTTCCGCTTCTTCACACAACAGGCCACCAGGTATCACGAGGTCACAGGGAAAGATTTCCTTTCACTGCTTATTCACTCAGAAAAGCCGCTATTTGAGGAAGCGCTGAAACGAATGGTAACTAGCGTCCTCGATATGTGGATTTTAGCTTCCTTTGAGCAGTTGGTCGCGACTGTTAGACGCGAAATGGCCTCCTACCAACTATATAACGTGCTTCCTGAGCTTCTACGGTTCATCGACGATCTGACAAAATGGTATATCCGCTTCAACAGAGACACGCTCAAGGGAGAGGATGGGGTCAGCGCCACGTACGTCAGTCTAAATGTTTTGTTCTATGTCCTGTTCATGCTCTGTCGCTTAATGGCACCCTACACTCCTTTTGTGTGCGACTGGATGTACCTTCAACTCAGGCCAGTTATGAATCTCCCCGGTGTGTTCGATAAAGTGGCATACCGCTCGATCCACTTTTGGGCAGTTCCTAGCCTTGCGCCCAACACCTTCAAGTTTCAAGCACAGCCCAACGTTATCCAGAAGATGACTGCGCTCAAAGACGTCATCATGCTCGGGCGGATGGTACGCAAGGACAAGTGTGGGGTCACGTCGTTCAAGATGCCACTGGGGAGTGTTACCATAGCACACGACAGGAAGGAAATTCTGGATGAGCTCAAAACTCTGGTGTCGTTCATTCAAAGCGAACTGAATGTCCTCGAGGTCAACTTCCATGTAGGCGAGGAGGGGCTGGCAACGTTTGCTGTTATTCCAGACTTTATAGCCATCAAAGAAGTGTATGCTGGGGATAAGAAGGTGCTTGGAAACGTAATCAACAAGGTGAAAGGGCTCTGTGACATCTCAAAGCCTGAAAACCTAGCCTTTGTAAAGGAGCTCAGAAAGACTGGGCGCTGCCAGCTGGACGGCATAACTGTGACAAGCGATCTATGCAAAGTAATGCTGGAGCCCATCCCCGTCCCGAATTACGCCAGTGCAGCGGACGAGAACGGATTCCTCTGCTCCTTCGATACACGCATCACTCAAGAGATAAAGCAGAAGGCTGTCGTGCGTATTCTATTCAGTAAGATTCAACAACTGCGCAGGCGGGTTGGCATGGACTTTCGCGACAAGGCAGATGTCTATGTATACTCCGTTCAAGAGGGGGACGAGTTGGTCCAGTACGCCGTCGACTCTATTGCAGATCGCTTGAACGGAACAATCCGTAACTCAGAGCCGGGGAACATCGAGAGCAAATCAGCTACAGAGATGGCCTCGATAGAGAACGACATCTTCAAGTGCACAGTCCAGATTGTCAAATATTAGTGGACCATCAATAAATTGCCCTTTTGTGGTTGATTGAACAATTTCTAAAAAATGTTGCAATTAAATTCTGCCCACGTCAGCCACAAGTTAGCCTCCGGGGATGATATACTTCGTCTTCTGTTCAGCAGACTGTAACTTAGCTTGCTCGTATTGTGGCAACTCGCCCGAGGATCTCTGCATGCCTGCCAAGCCAACCTATGAGTTCGAGAAGCTCGCGGAGTTTATTGCCGGAGACGATGATCCTGTCTTCGTGTTTTACGGTGGAGAGCCCTTGCTGAACCGTCCCTATGTATGCCGCGTCATGGATCGCTTTCCAGACGCCACTTTTGTGCTGCAATCCAACTGCACGTTGCTCTATGATTTGCCCACCCCCTACCTTAAGAGATTCGCCTGCATACTGCTTTCCATTGATGGCCGCCCGGAAACGGTTGATGCTTATCGGGGAGAGGGCGTCTACGAAAGGATTGAGAAGAACATCAACGACGCCCGCTCTCGAGGATATACTGGACCGATCGTGGCTCGTATGGCGTGCTCGTTGAAGACAGACATATATAAGGATGTCCACTACCTCATGTATGAATCTCCGCTGAAGTTTGACGCTGTTTATTGGCAGCTAGATGTCGAGTGGGACTCTCCCATGAATGCCCGTTGGGGGAACTTCGAGGTCTGGATGCGTCAAACATATATGCCAGGGGTTGACAGGCTCTTCAAGGAATGGCGCGAGGGTCTGGAGCGTGGAGATGTGAAGGTCATTGTCCCGTTCAACACAATTACAGAGGCATACTTGGATTGCAATGCCATCGATGGTGCAGATCCTTCTGTCCCCAGACGCGGATACTTGCGCTGCTCAGCTGGGCACAAGGCGGTTAGCATCACAACTGATGGCCGAGTGCTGGCGTGTCCTGTTGCAAGCGGGGAATGCTGGAACAACCTCGGAAAGCTAAGTGACTCTCGGACCTCTCTCTTGGGTCAGAAGTCTGTTGGAGGAATGTGTGACGTCTGTGAGGTCCGAGAGGTTTGCGGGGGTCGCTGCTTATACGCAAACCAAACCCTCTGGTGGGGTGATGATGGACATGCCTTAGTGTGTGAGCTCAACAAGCACCTTATCGCCCTTTGTGAATCGCACTCTGACAGGGTCCAAACGATGCTTGCAACTGGAAAGATCTCATGGGCTCAGTTCCACTTTCCGAGCGAGCGCTACAGTCTGGAGATCATCCCCTGAGTAAATTCCCGAAAGATTTTAAAATGAATTTGCGGCCTTAGAGAAAAGCGATCCCGAACTATGGTCCACATTCCGAAGGCAGTCTACAAGGCCGTTTACGCGCATCTGTACGAGAATGCGTCTCTGGCTCTGAAGGAATACTGGCGCGTAGGGAACGTGCCAGGGATCACGTATGTCGATGAGAATGGCAAGCTCTGCAATCCCACCTATCTTCACGTCAATTGTATAATGCAGTCTCTTGAGTCCCGTGGCGTTGTGAAGGATACATTCGCCTGGAGACACCACTACTATCTTCTCACTGAGAAGGGCGAGCAGTTCATCCGCAAGGAGTTGGATCTCACCGACGATGTTCTCCCGACGCCGTATTCGAAGCCTAGTATTAAGCCTCCTCAATATGCACAGTGCTTCTCGTCGAAGGGCAAGCCCGATAGAGCCCCCCAGCCTAAGCCCGATGAAGCAAAGTAAAATCTGAGCCCATAGCTTCCACGCACAGATGATCCCCAGCGGAATGTTGGAGTAAATCAAGTCCTGGCCCGTGTGGTCTTATCCCTTGAGCCAGATAAAAATGAGTGCTGGGGTGCAGGCTCCCACGCCTGTTAAACGCTACTCGTCTCTCTTCCCGACTGGCCAGCACAACATTAGCGATGGCGATGGCGTTGGGCCTGCGTCTGGATCATTCTTGGAGATTTTCCGCTATGTTCACAAGAAGAGGCCTTCAATGGCAGTTCTGTCCTGCTCGCTGAACACCATTCCTCGGTCAGAGGGTATACTGCGTAAGCTCGGGGTTCCGATAGCTCTGAGCGTGTCTCCTCTCGCTCCGCTAGACAATCTGCGTGTTGTGGGTCTCCAGTCAAGCAGTATACCCCTAATAACGGCCCCGCCCATTCGTTGCCAGCGGTGTCGGGGATACATGAATCCATACAACATATTGCTTAACGAAAGCTGGACGTGCGTCCTCTGCTCCCGCGTGAACCCATATCCCCCTAACCGTGTTCCAGCCCTAGTCTTTAGCGCACAAGCCAACGCCTTTGTTCCCTCTATTCCACCCGAGTGTAGTCCAGGTAACACATGCTCCTTCCCCTACGCGGAGTTCCTCTGTGCTACGGTGGAGTATGACGTATCGGCTAACCTGGCGTTTCTACCCGCTACCACCGATGCAGCTGCTGCACGGTTTAGCGAGCTGAATCCTGGAGAGGTGTCCCATGTGCAAGCATCGGTCCTGTCTGCAGATGCCATTATGGAGGCCAATGCCATTACCGTAGCAGCAGAACAGCCTTTTTCAAGTCTAGAATTAGCACAGAATCGCTTTGAAGGGAACAACATCTCAATACCAAGTACTGAGTGCCTATATGCAAGGAAGCTCCCCGTGCTAAATGCAGATGAGCTTATTGCGAACGCCGTACCTGTATCGGAGAAAGACTCTGTACATCTTCTGCACAAGGCACAGCCCGTTTGTCTTCCATTTAGTATAATAGTTCTTATTCCAATTACTGTTAATAGCATTAATTCAGGGGTTCTCGCCAGCTCATGCACATCCATTTTGTCCTCGCTGCAGCTAATGAACCAGCACATATCCTTTGTACCACTGTTCTATAATCAAAAGATCATCTGTTACAGACGGATCAACCACGATCCAGAGCGCATAGAAGAGATAGAAATAACTCCAGATCCTCTAGTGTCGGAGCCAGTTATCCCATATCCGCTTGAAGAATTGGCCATAACCAGAGACTTCGCAAAGGAACAATCCTTCTTTCAAAAGCTGCTTTCCCGGTTCTACAATCAGGCTGCCGCCTCTGTGGCCGCGGGTGCAGAGCATTACACCGTGTCCTCAATGATCTCTGCCATTTCTGGGTGCATCTCCACACTACAGAGGATGAGCGGTAAGATAGTAGTTGTTCAAACAGATCCTTGCACGCGCGGCATTGGGTGCAATCCCCTTTCCACTATCAACCCAGTTGAGTATTCGAATCCTAGCGTTGAGAAGCTTTACTTATCGAGAAGCATGTTGATAAATAGACTTGCCTATGCTGCAGCTAGTCATAATATTGGTATTGACATTATAGCTCTGCCCATGGACAAAAACGTGAATTTGGGCCTCGTGCCCCTATCCTCTCTTTGCGTCATGACAGGTGGCGCGCTTCTCTACAACGAGGCGTCCGCCTATGCCGAAAAGCATTCTGCTAGCGCTATGGGTCTCGGAAATGCCGATTTTGCCACCAATGCACTATTACGGCTCTTGACTGCAACACAGGGCGTCTCAGCAACTTTGTCAATCCGGACGAGCGAGGGCCTAACAGTTAGCATGCAAGAAGTCACTGGGAAGCCTGCATCGTCCTCTCTCAGCTCGGCTTTCACTGCTACAGGGGCATCCGCCCTCTGGGCTAATACACGAGACTTCATTGCGACTACCATGAGTAGACGCTCCGGGGATGGGTCTGGTAATGAGGATTCCGCCCTCAATAAGGGCATGCTTTCCGCCAGTGGCCAGGCATCTGAAGTCTCAAAGGGGCGGCCATCCATTGAGAATATTGCACAGCTAATTCAAACAGAAAACAAACCACGCTACAAGGTGTCTTCTGCGGATAACTTCTTTGCAAATTACCTTAAGGTCTCCGATGTGGAGTACAGTTTTGCCAGCATCTCCGAGTACACTTCCTACGTTATGGAGTTGAAGTATAACGCAAAATTGCCCGCTGAGTGTAGCAACAGTTATGTCCAGACAGCGCTTCTTTACACAAGTACAGACGGTTCTCGAAGACTCCGCGTGTCGACACTGCAACTAGCGGTGAGTGACAACCTCACGGATATATACTCAAATATAGACCAGAGCATCTATATGAGCTGGTTGGCAAAGAAGCTAGCGTTTCTCACTTTGAATAGCGCCGCACTCGTGATGGGTGACATCGGCGCGCTTGGAGGACGCATCTTGCTGGAAAAGCCTATCTCAGATAGTGGTGTGGATGTTGAAATCGAGGCTGGTCTTGTGAAGTATGGCAGTATTGTCATAGGGTCGGCTGTGCCTGCAAGCGGTGATTATTTATCCATGCCGCTTCATGGGGGAGGCATGGCTGATAACAATCTACTCAACGCATCCCAAGCCAGTCAGAATATACAGACGTCTGTAGTACAGTCCATTTCCAATTCCCTTGGCCTGCAAGGAAAACGCAAGACCATAGACGAGGGTGTCCGCACAGGGCATATGTCAGCCAATGGAGCAGCCTACTTGCTTTCTAAATACGGTGGACTACTAACAACGAAACAGCTGCCACTCAACATCGCATCGTCCTCTCTACTCTTCGATGGAGAATATTCCTATGGGGCCGTTCTTAGAGGGAGAAAAACATTAGAGCAAATGGTGTATCCTCTTATCAGGCAATTTAGAGACCTCTCAACAAGCATTGCAAACGACAGACTTACAGTTCCAACTAATATGGACCTAGTTCCGTTCTACCTTATGGGGCTGACACGAACTGCACTCTGTCATGCTCACCGCTCTGAAAGCGAGGGTGGTCCCTTTACCGCGGACATGCGATGTAGCACTGCATTCCTAGTTGTCTCTGCGTCGGTCAGCTCCATCGCATCGATGCTTTATCCGGTGATATACAACATCACTACTTACTTGACATCCTTTGTCCCAGAAATTGGGACCTACAAGACTGCGCACCCAGAGGCGGTGCTCACCATGCCCGTCTCCATTCCTACACCAATACGTGCATGCAGCAGATATATAGAAAATCTGACCGGAAGCATCTTATATATCGTATCTGGGAATCTGTCATTCTTTTGGGTAGGATCTCTGGTACCTGAAGAACTCAGAAGGGGGCTCTTCGGTGCACAGTCGCATGGCGAGTTAAGGGTTGCCCCGTTTAGTCTTTATGCTTCTGCTTCTCAGGACAAAGGCATTTGCTCCACGCTGCTAAACTTTATTACAATCGTTAAGAGGCTTACGGACTGTTGCGGAGGTGACATTGTAGTTCCCGAGGGAGTTGGTGGCGTGGAGGGCCTTGTACGCTGGATGCTCGTTGAAGACTCGACCAGTCAAGACAAGAGCTATGCAGACTTTCTAAATGGGTTTGCAACGGCAATTGGTGCTGCGTGACAGAATTAGCCTGAGTTGTTTGTGAGTGACGCCTATAACAAAGCAGTCGCAAGCACTTCAGCAATTTCTATAATAAACCGTCCTCTTTCCCCTTTTCCACCAGAGCCTCCATGTCACCGACAATTTCCGAGATGATTTGCAACTTATCCAAGATAGACAGCTTGCTCTCATACTCTCTGCCTATCTTCGAGGTGGCAAGACAGCGGAGATACAGGTTGTCTATTCCAAGTATGATGACCCCTATGTTGGCCATTGTCCGGTCAATCGTCAGCTTGTGCTTCGCGATCATAGCACTGAGGCCTGTCGTGTCCCGCTCCTTTATTTCGAGTTCCTTGATAACATTAGAAGTCTCGCTGTTGATTGCATAGACCTTGGCTGCCTGCATCTTTTCAATAGCCCGTGCTTTTTCGCGTAGCTGCTCGGCATTAAGCTGCTCGGCGCTTACCTGCTCCATTAGCTTTGCATGGGTGGTTTTCAAGTTGGCATATCTGTGAAGGATCTGGTCAGCGTAGATGAACTCCTCGGAGGCCTGGGTCACGTTCTGGAGAAAGTCCTCATAGACACTCATGTTACTCAGCTCACGCTTCAGACAGCGAAAGCGGGCAGCCATTCCCTCCTGTGTATGTAGCAGTTCTGCTTGCAGCATGCGAAGCTGCTCCTCATTGCTATACTCCTCGTGCATCCGGAGTAGCGCAGTCTCCTTCTTTTCATTGTTCTCCTGGATAAACTTTGTGAACCGCTGCTTGGCCACTTCTAGCTCCTTACGTTGGCTGGCCAGAATGGCCTCGCGGTCCTCGAGCGCCTTTATCTCCTCGGTGTAGAGAATCCGGCGCTCGTCCAGCCTCGTCTGATAGTCAGCGAGCTGCTTGCGTTTCTGAAGGAGGACAGTCTCGTCGGAGATATGCTCGAGGGGATGCTGTGTTCCCGTCGATTCTGAGAAGGCGCCCCTAATGTTGTAGATCTTGTCCAAGGAGTCCGATATCATCTTGTCGACGGAGACCTCCTGCTTTGATGCATCCAACCGCCGCAAAAACTCAAGGTCGTTGACGTTGTCCTCGTTCATCCCGCACAGAATTTTGAATCAGTATTTACAACAACTCGCCGATAGCGTTGCAACCCAGCTTGGTGCCGAGAAGTTCAAGGGTTCTGCGCTTAAACACGTTAGTTGTCAATGTGATGCCCATGCGATTGCGTAGCTTTGTAACGGCGGCTTCATACGCAGCTGAGTCAGAATTCTTCAAGGCCAAGAGGCACTCATAGATAAACTCTCCTTCGGGGGACCCCACAAGCGTCGGGTCTTGCTTCTCAAACCTAGAAAGAGCGTCCCTAAGCTGGGCCTCTTCCTGGAAGAAGGTCATGCAGATAAACGATGAAAAGAAGAAATGCTTGGCCGAGTCTCGAAGAGCAGGGGTCTGAATGCACTCTATGGCAACGTCTTCAAAGATAGATGCGCTTATCTCGTAGTTACTACCAAGACAGGCGCCAAGCTCTGCAAGGCGGATTCTGCAATTCCGATGTTCGTTAGCCGAGGCGCAGTCATGCTTGAAGGCAACCTCAGCCTTAGCGTAGAGGGCGTATGCTTCTTCGTAATCTTCATGGTCTTCTGAAAGAACGGCCAGATCCTGGAGGACCTTCCCGGCCTGGGAGTAGCTTCCAATCTGCATGGCAACTGTGGCCAATTGCTTAGCGGTAATGATGGCTAACTGGAGGTGGTCTTCCTTGTACACTGAAATGGCCGAGCTGTAAAAGTCCAGGGATAGATGCGGCTTCTCATGGGAAAGGCACAGAGAGGCGCACTTCTCGTAAAGCTCGCCGGCCTTGAGATTGTTTTTTGCAAGCTTATACATGTTTCCCGCCTTCTCGTAATTGTCCACCGCCGCATCCACTGCTCCTTCCTCCTCAGATTCTTTTGCCAGCATCTCTTCGGCGATCTGGATGTACGCCTCCGCCTGCTTTGCATAACTCATGTTTTAATAAAAGAATGGTATTCACTCCTTAAAGCATGGAAGACCCGTAATCCTGGCTCAGAAGGGAGGTCGATGTTTCGTCTGGATGGAACCTCCTGCGAGGGCTCTTCTTCATGGGCCCCTTCCGATTTCTGAAAAGGAAGAACCAGACCAGAACCCCAGCAACGGAGCCTCCGACAACCACCAGGACGGCTATGGTTATCCCCGCTATGGCTCCAGTGGACATCATCTTACCGGCGCTCTCTGTGGTCAGGCAGATTACCGAGACGGGATTCTCGTTTGTTCCATTCGTCAGCGGAAGAGTGCAATACTTGCATCCGGGAACACCGACGATTCCATCCATGGGTGTGGTGTCGGAACAAGGGCGGCAAGGGCCACTGGCATCGCCAGAGAAGGAAAACGACGCGAAGTACTCATCTTTGCAGCTTTTGCACGTACTTGGTGATCCCTGCGTGCAGCTTTCGCACTCTGCAGCACAGCTTACACACTCACCATTGACCAGGGACCAACCGGGCTTGCACTCATCGCAAGTTGTCACAATGTTGCAGCTGGCGCAGTTTTCGTTTTTACATGCAGTACACGTCCCAGCAAGGTTGCTATATCCTATCTTGCAATAGCTGCAGCTCCCACTAGAGGCCATGGAGCAAACGTCCCTACCGGGTAACTTCGATGTCTCGTAGCAGCCGCCTTCGTAGAGGAAATACCCATCGGCACACGCTAAGCACGCACCCTTGGAGTAGCGAGAACACTCACTAGCCCTCGTAGCTTGGGACTTACATTCTCCGTTGACCGGAACAGAGGTCTGGCTTTGGCACTGGGAGCAGTATTTTGTCTTGGATATCATAGCCCCACAGGACTTGCATCCATCCACGTTGATTCTGCACTCCTCCTTACAGCCAGACGCACCCATTCCGTTGAGGCTATGAACCTTCCCCTCTACGCATGAAAGACACTGGGTGCTTTGGGGACCCTGACATGTTTTACAGTCCGCATGACACGGCAGACACTGCGTCTGGTCACCACTCAAGTATGTTCCATCCTGGCAGAGGCTACAAGCGCGACCTAGCTGCGACACGTCACAGGTTTCACAGTTGTCTATTGCACATGGAACGCAGCGCCCGTCAAGAGGAGTGTGGTGATCTGCGCATTCGCAGACCATCTGATTATAGAGGAGCGAGGGCACGCACATCCCTGTACCTCCACACGTACTGTCTGCACAGGTGGTCTTCATGCAGTGCTTGAAGATATACTCCTCCGGAGGACGGATGTAGCCATCAGCACAGTCAGCGCACGTATCGCCTGCGTGACCCTCATTACACACGCATCTTCCACTTGTAGGATCGCACATGCCTCCGCCGTTGCAGACCGTCTGCCCAGCCTCTGAGGTGGTTGTGCATCCGGAGGTAACACAGAAGTATGTAATAGAGTAGCCCGCGCTAGTATCGTCGATATTCTTATAGCCGCTTTCACAGGTGCAAGAGAACTCCTCCTGTTCCTCGGAGTACGTACACTTCCCGTGGCCACCGCACTCGTAACCCTTGTCACCGATGGTAGATAAGCACATAACACTGAAACACCTATTAGGCTCCGTCCCAGGCGAATACCCAAGGTTACAGACACACTTGTACGAAGAATCCACGGCAGTGCACTTCCCAAAGCCACTACATTCGATCTGCTCACCATCGTAAGTGTCTATACAATTCGAATGAACACACCTCCCATCAACGTTAGAAAATCCATTGGCACATGCACACGAGTGAACATCATTTGTCGCAATGCACTCGCCGCCGCCACAGATAGAGGTCACTCCGTTTCCGTCCGTCTGCACACACTCAGAGACTATGCACTGCGACTTGCCAACAAGCGAGTACCCGTTGTTGCAGACACAGAACCCACCAGTCGTAGTCTCCTTGCAGCTACCTTGATCGCTGCAAACCACCATATCCTCCCCGACTTGGCCGCAGCAATCTGGATGAGGGCACGTATAGGAATCTCCGGAGGGCACTGCCGGGGTGTTGTTGTCACATGCACACATGTAGCCGGTCCACATCTGAATGCACTGACCCCTTCCGCCGCAGACAACATTATTTCCATTGACATCCCGAGTGACGCATTTCTTGGGAACGCATGTTCCATTAACGTTCACGTGCTGTGCAGTGCAAACACAAGAGAAGCCGGTGCCATCGCCCTTGTCCACACAGGCCGCGTGATGATCGCCGCCACAGTAAACGTTGTTTTCATCGATACATCCGGCACGAACACACATTGAAAGAGACGCGGTTTTGACGTACCCACTGTTGCAAGTGCACCCATCGGAGGTGCAGGTCCCGGCACCAGCGAAGCCGCACTCGAGGTACAGATTACCGATTAAGCCAGGGATGGCTTCCCCGGCATCGATCACAACAATGCACTGCGCCAGCGTGCAGTATGGGCCGGTTGCATAGTATCCCTCTCCACAGTGACACTCATAGCTCCCAGTGACAGGGTTGTAGAAGCAGTCACCGATACCGCTGCAGACATAAGAGAGACTAGGCTCCACTCCTTCCCTATCGGCTCCATAGGCCGTGCACGCACTTGGAGCGCAGTAGTTTGAATTAATCAGGGTGAACCCTCGGTTGCACGCACAGGTGGCGAGTTCAGGGTGCGTCTCATTGGCCACACACGTCCCTCTGCCCTCCCCTCCACAAAGCACAGTCGTGCGGTCCAGAGGGTCATGGTATCCGCAACCGATAGGATAGCAGCTAGAGCCGCTACCAAAGTATGGATATTCGCAAACGCAACCCCAGTATCCGTAAGTGTCAAGGGCACAAATCCCCAGGCCACCACACATCACGGTGGCATCTGTCTCTGGGTCCTGCGTCAGACATGCGTTGGACACACAAGTACCTTTGAAGTACGTGGACCCCGGCCCGCAGAAGCATGTGTAGTCTCCGTGGTCGTCTTGGAGGCAGTCACCGAGACCGTTGCAATAAGAATCAGGATTCTGCAGAACCGTCTCGTCTGTTGTTCCCTTAAGGTCCGGATTTAAACAGGCCTTGTGGATGCATGATGTACGGTATTGCACGTCTCCGAGTTCGCTCTTGATAGCATCCTCCACAGTCACAAAGTTGAATGGGTCCTCACAGCTACAGGTAGATGTGAGCGCAGACAAACACTGTGGGGCCCCCGGATCGTCTATATACATAGTGTGCCCATCAAGAAGCCCGCAATATAGGTTCAGGGGATATTCCGTCTTTGAAGGATACGTGCAGCCCCTGTGGACAACCAGGGAGCTGTTATAAGCTACCAAATACTGGCTCTTATCTGGAGTCTTACAGTAAAACACGGAGTCAGCGTCAACGCCGTATTGCGAACAAGTAGCTCCTTGTACCCCGTTGCAAATCGTGGGAGGAGATGTGGTGGAATCAGAGACGCACGCGGCCGCGGTGCAAGCATCATTGATCATATAAGCCGCAGGAGGCCGCCGTTCAGTGTTGCACTCGTTGCAGAGCGTCCCCTTCGTGACGCCATCACATTGACAGATCCAGTTTTCTGGCTTAGATGCGTCTGCGCTGGACGATGAGATAGTGGCTGTGCCGTTGCCACTGCAAACCCAACTGCCACTGATGAGCTTGGTGGGAATGCACCGCATGCTACGCAACGTGAAGCCAGAATTACATTGGCAGCCGTTGGATGTGCATTGCCCCGCTCCGCTGCAAGTCTTATTGACGATGGAATCCCAGCACCCGGGCTTGGCGCAGACGTTTGTGCCGTGAGCCTCATACCCCTCGTGGCACTTACAGCGGTATGCAAAAAGCCCTTCCAGCACACAGTCTCCGTTGTTGCTGCAGACAGTGTTATCGGCAACGCAGCTCTTGGCAACGCACTTTCCATTAATCGTAGTACCCCGCTGATTGTCACACACTTCACAATAGTCGCCGCTGGAATAGCTCATCGGGCACTGACAGTAGTACGTATTTGGATTCGTAGGGTCTTCGCCGCCAGACACGCATGCTCCAATATCACTGCATGCTAAAGCCCCATCATTCTGTCGACAAGCGGGTGCGGTACAATGACCATCGGTAAGTTGAACAAAGCCGCTGAGACATCTGCAACTAAACTGGCTCCCGCTGCTCTCACAGACGCCACCAGTTCCACACTCAGTTGCTACGCCCGCTTGGGTGGAGACGCAATTCAGCGGGAGACACTTTGCCGTGCCAACAAGCTGGTACGGATAGCCGCAACGACAGATGTAGCCCGTGGTGAGCTCCCCAGTAAATGGGTGTTGCTGGATATTCTCAACGCACTCTCCACGGCCCTGGCAAGGCTCTGTGTCCTCCCCATCATAGCAGGACATCGCGACGCAGGCGCGAAGAAGAGGATCAATCTTCCCAAATCTTGGGTCACAGTTCTGGCACTGGGACCCCGTGTGGATCAGATTGCAGGAGCAGATGTACACATCAGGTCTGACCCGGTCTGCCTCCGAGGCGCCGTTGAAGATGCAGATCCCCTGACCACTGCAGGGACGCTCCGTGGTCACCCCGCCGGCCTCCTCGTCACCATAGCAATACGAAGAGACACAGCGGCCGGAATACTGGTAGAAGCCGACCGGACAGCTTCCGCACTCCCAGGCGTTCTTGCTTTTCAAGTAGAGACACGTGCCCCTGCCGCCGCACTCCAAGCCATCCTCAATGCAGCTCGGCGGGATGCAGTTCTCCACAAGGTTAACAAATCCGCGGGAGCAACTGCTGCAATCGTAGCCCGTCCATCCGGGGGCGCAGACGCAGCGGTAGACCTCTCCGATAAGCGTGCAGGTCCCGTGGTCCCCGCACTCATAGCCCGTATCACCGCACGGCGCGGCCAGGCCGACCGCCAACATAAGAGACACCTTCAGCATTATTTATTGGTGGTTAAATTTGCTGATTTATAGGCTTTTAGTGTGAACTTAAAATCGGTCGTGGGTGTCTGCAGTTGACCCACAGAGTTCCCTCTACACGCACGCAGTGACCGATTTTTCAACCCTGCCATCTGCGGCCAACTATCTTCAAAGCGACACGCCAAAGAAGAGCATCAAACCACGGGGTTTACTCTCTATCTGTAATAGTCTATCCACTGGACACGGACATCCTGGTTGGCCGGCACGTCGAGCTCGAAGATTGCCTCTTGTGGCCCCTGGCGCACGTCAAAGTCTCCCCGTTCCTTGGTAATTTCGCCGATCGTCACGTCGAGGCCCTCGCAGTTAGAGATTGCAATGGCCACGGTCAGGCGCGTGGCGCTGCGGAGCCGAAACTGCACATGCCCGATCCCTCCCGGACATGCTAGGCGAAGCACACTCCCGCTGAGCTCTGCCGTTGCCCCCTCTCGCGCGTTAACGACCTCGATCTCCCCCGGATTCCCGTCCATCTCGACTATTCTGGGAAGCCTGCCCAATAATATTGTAAACCATTTGAATTTGATTTCTAGGTGATTATTAGTTGAGCCCCCGAACGAGATGCCTATCCCCGAGCTCGTCCTCAAGCACCGCAGGAAGGTCCAGCGTGACATCCGCTCAGCGGCCGAGCGCGCGACTGAGAAGGAGAAGCGGGCCGCGCTGGTCAAGGATCACGCGGTCAAGTCTGCCCAGGTCTACGCCCGATACTACATTGATCTCGTGGAGTCGGAGAAGAAGGCGCGCGAGAACGCTCTCAAGAACAACCAGCTCTACGTCCCCGACGAGCCGAAGGTGTACCTCGTCGTGCGCATACGCGGTATCGTCGGAGTCGCCCCCAAGGTTCGCACGATCCTGAGTCTCCTTCGCCTCCGCCAGATCAACAACGCAGTCTTCATGCGCTGCAACAAGGCGACGCTCAACGCCCTCCGCATAGTCGACCATTACGTCACGTATGGCGAGCCCACCGTGGAGACCATCCGCAACCTTATCTACAAAAGAGGGTTCGCGAAGGTCAACGGCCAGCGCATCCCTATTGTCGACAACAATCTCATCGACGAGCAGCTCAGCAAGCACAACATCCTCTGCGCAGAAGACCTTGTCCACGAGATCTTCACCTGCGGCTCGAGCTTCAAAGAGGCAAACAACTTCCTGTGGCCGTTCCAGCTGAACTCCGCGGCTCTCAAGGACAAGCGCAACAACTTTGCAGAGGGCGGTGACTTTGGGTACCGCGGGAAGTACATCAATGAGTTTGTTGCCCGAATGATCTAAGACAGTAAACGGTGACCGATTTTGGATGGGGGACGGAGAGGCCCGGTACATCACCCGCGTGAGCCACACCTCTCAGCGGGCAGCAAAGCTCTACTCCGGGGTCCAGCGAGTCGAGTGCAAGACCCGAAGGCGGAAGGGACGCGCCTTAAAGGAGAAGCTGCAGCAGGCTCGGTGTGCCGCCTCGTCTGCAGATCTAGACCCCTGGCTCACTGAGATTGTTCCTGTGGCTGAGGTAGACATCGTAGAACCAGAGATTCTTGTACAGGTCGAGGGGACATGCCCTGAATCAGCCGAAGGGCAGGTGCCGGCGAGTATCCTCCCACTGCTACAGACAAAGTTCCCCTGTGCAACCGAACAAGATGCAAAGCTAGTAGCGCCCCTCCTTGATTCTGTCAAGCCCGTAATAATCCTCTCCAGCGAAGCTCCCCTCAAGTACATTACGCTGCCGTTACTTTTGGGATCCCCCAAAGTGATGCTGTTTGTGTCCTCGAGCATCACGCGGCGGGAGTCTTTTCTCTACAGTGTTAATACACGAAAGCAGACAGGCGGGCCACAGAAATCTTATGGGGTTCACTGGGGATATGGATTCAAAAGTCTGGCAGAGTATATTCCATTTGCCGATATATCCTACTATTGCTCAATGGAGCAGATTGAAGCCTACAGGCGTGCGCTATGGAAGAATACCCCCAGGGCCGTGGCTGACATGCTTGACACCAGATTTGTCTTAGCCGTTGCAATCTCGTGCCAGGACTTCCTCTCGTGCCCATTTCAGCATTTCCTCTCCCTTGTGAAGACCCCAGTTCACCACCTAGTCTTAGACTGGGACTCTCGACTCAGAGATATAGCCTTAAATCGGGCCGCTGCTTTATGTAAGCCTGCCCGACAGATTGTCGTTATAGAAAGGGCGCCACCAATTAGCCATGAAGTAGGTACACACTTGCAACTTAGACAGGTTTATGTGAAGACCTTTTCAGAGGGCATGCAGGTGCTTGCTGATAGTGGAAGGTTAACCGAACCGTCATCCATGCTTTGCATAGTAGACTCAACGAACATACTACACCCTAACAAGAGTGCTAGTGTCACAGACAGTGGAGCACTTTGTGTACACCTTAGCACACTTCTGGAATCTTGGACTATTGAGTACCTGGTGCTGTCAGCAAAGTATGAGCCCTTTGCCTTAAGCCAGATTGACACGCTGGTTTTGGATTGCATAGCTGTACCTACTCAGCTTGTCATTGATAGCATATGTCTTCGCAGTGGCCTTTCCACAATGAGAGGATTGACTTTTGTTGCTCAGATTGTTTCTCCTAATGCAGTTTTTCAACACATCCAAAGACTGCTGATCAAAAGTCTCACGTCCATTCTTTATGGATTTCTGATTGGAAGCCTGCTTTCATCCCAGATCCGATCCACGACTGATGAGCATGTTGTTCTTAGCTTTCAGCGTCTGAGCTTCCAGTTGAGATTCTTGACAGGGCTAGTGGCTCCTCCTCTCGACGCAGATCTCTGGTGGAATGCTATGTCCGATGTAGCCGCATCCATGGGTCTGTCTCTGCATAGCTTCGGTCACGAAGTTTATACGTACAAGCTGCTAGGATCAATGAAGCAAGCGACCATTGAACGCAAATATCCTGTCTGCCAATTGATCAAGCAGGCATGCGAACTAGAAAGCACGCCAGAGCGTTTTACCATGCGAACCCTGCTCTGTCTTATGTCAACCTCTCCACCGAACGGAGTCCCCCTAGATCATGCAGATTTAGAGAGCCACCTAGCGGCTATCCACGACGCTGAATCGCAGATGGTATGCTGTCCACGCTACACTGAGCTTCCACCCTGCATATTGTTTTCCCGAACGTCGGTTGAAAATTCAGACCTCACATCTGTTAGCAACCGGTATGCTACCAAAGTTCTTGAGGATCTGAGAATGGGCCTGGACTCCCTGTTGGTTCAATTGATAGAAAACTACAGCAAAGAGCTTAGAGATAGTGTACAGTCAGAGTACTCAGATCTCAGTAAGCATGCAGAAGCCGTGCCTTCTGTCAAGCTTTGGAAGGAAAGACTAGTTAGCCTGCAACGTGCAACCGGGAAGGAGTATAATCCAATTGCCGCATGCATTTCTCTGCTCGCTGAGGACTCCATGGACACTTACCAACTGCACACCATCACCGCACTGAAACTATCTTTGGATCACGTTGCTGACCAATGCAGCTTATTCGCTGGAGTCGCTAAGCATATGCTTAAGGCGACTGACGATTTCTTCAATCGTCTGAATGTCTAGTCTCCTCCAATGAAAAGGCCTGACTGCCCACAATCACTTTACAACAAAAAATGGGCAAAGTGGATCTGGGAGACCAGGCTATGGAGCTGAAGTTTGCTGGTAAACAGCTCGAGAACCAGGCCAGGGGACTGGAGAAAGACGTAACCAAGCTGCGAGATGAGGTTGCGCGACTTATCAACCAGAACAATCGCGAACTCGCCAACACAAAGGCAAACCTCCTGGTCGCGAAGCAGAACCAGATAAACCAGCTTTATAAGCTCGCCGGTCAGATGGAGATCATGGCCACCCAAATGGAGATAGGAGGACTGATGATGGAGAACGCGAAGGAAATCAAAAAGGTGAACAAGAATGTGCAGAAAGCGCTGGCCACGATGGACACGAGTGCCCTTGCGAAGATTATGCACGACTTCGCAAAGACCGACAAGAACCTCTCCATGAACACTGCCTTCATGGGCCAGATGATGGGTGAGCAGACGAGCGCCACCATGGACTCCCAGGTCGCCGCCAAGCTGATCAGGGAGATCGCGATGGAGCAGAGCATCGCGCTCCCGTCGTCGTTTGCGGACCTGACCGTCCAGCAGGAGGCCGCGGCGGAGCCCGAAAGAGCGGCGGAGATGGTGTAAATGCACGCTGTGGGGTTCGAACCCACGCGGGGTCGCCCCCATGAGAGCCTAAATCTCACGCCTTAACCACTCGGCCAAACGTGCGCGCTCGCGCGTGGAGCCGGGAGGCAGGCGTGTCCGTATGCCTAACCAATTTGAATTCATTTCCGGGTCTGAAAAGACAAGGCCCGCGATGTCCCACCGCAAGTTCTCGTGCTGCCGCAAGGGCAACCTCGGCTACCTCCCCCGCAAGCGCTGCACGCGCGGCCGCGGGCGCTGCAAGACCTTCCCACCAGACGTCCAGGGCGCGCCCATCCACCTCACGGCCTTCCTCGGCTACAAGGCCGGCTGCACGCACGTCATGCGCTTCATCGACCACCGCGGCTCGAACCTCCACAACCGCCAGGCCATCGACCAGGCGACAATCATCGACGCCCCGCCAATGATCTGCACGGCCATCATCGGGTACGCCAAGACCCCGAAGGGCCTCCGCGCCGTGACGACCGTCTGGGCCGCCCACATCGCCGAGCCCGCCATGCGTCGCTTCTACCGCAACTACTTCCACGCGGAGAAGACGGCCTTCTCGACCTACATGAAGAAGGCCGCCGACGGCACATACATCAAGGAGCAGCTTGGGCGCCTTAAGCAGCACGCTGACGTCATCCGCATTGTCGCCCACACCCAGCCTGCCCTGACGCCCCTGAAGCAAAAGAAGGCCGACATCATGGAAATCCAGGTCAACGGCGGAGCGAACGTGGCCGAGAAGGTCGACTATGCGTACGCCCTCATGGAGAAGCCGATCTCGATCAAGGACGTCTTCAGCGTGGGAGCACAGATCGACACCATCTCCATCACGCGCGGCCGTGGGTTCGAAGGCGTCGTCACCCGCTGGGGCGTCACCCGTCTTCCGCGTAAGACCCGCCGCGGAAACCGCAAAGTTGCCTGCATCGGTGCCTGGCACCCGGCCAACGTCCAGTATACTGTCGCCCGCGCCGGTCAGATGGGTTACTTCCACCGCACGGACACCAATAAGCAGGTCTTTATGATTGACACAGCGGAGAACCCCAGGTGCTGCACAACGGAGTTCGATCTGACAGACAAGAGCATCAACCCGGTCGGCGGCTTTGTCAACTACGGCCGCGTCCAGGGAGACTTCATCATGATCAAGGGCACGTGCCCAGGACCCAAGCGCCGCCCGGTTGTCATGCGCAATGCCCTCCTCCCTCACCGCAACTGTCCTCCGGTCCAGCTTCAGTGGATCAGCACGGCCTCCAAGTTCGGTCACGGTATCTTCGAGACCGTTGAGGAGCGCAGGCAGTTCTACGCCAAGTAGGCCGACCGTGTGCCAAGTGAACCAGGCGCTCCTCCGTTTACTTTGCAATGTCTACGCCAGCGCGACCAGGTACGATTGTTCCATGCTGACCGGAGAAGCGTGGCCTCCGATGAGTAGGAACGAGTTGCTAGTGACTTGGATACAAGATCCCCCTGATCTTCCCGAAAATGGGTCGCCGGAAAGCTTCAAGCGGCGAGGCTCGAAGGTTCTTAGGTCGATAATCCATATGTCGTTGAATATGTCCCAATCGTTGCGGCCTCCAATAACGAGCAAGTTGCTCCCAAATGCAAGAAGGCTTGCACCTCGTCGCGGGGATATCTCCTTTAAAGTGCGCTCGCCCCACTGCCCGTTGACCAGGTCATAGTAGAAGAGCGTGTTATAGTGCCTCCTCTGGTCCAGCCCCCCAAAGAAGTAAACCGTCTCCTCAACCAGGGCCGAGCTGACGCTCCCCACGGCAATCGGTGGCTTGAGAACGCGAGTCACGGTTTGATCATCAAAGTCCACGATAAAAGCGTCTCCACACGGCACCTTCCGCTTACCGATCCCTCCATAGAGCAGAGCTTTGCAGCTAGAGATCTTGCAGAAATTGTGGGAATAGCGTGGAGAGATGTGGTCGCCGGCCAGCTTTATCTCAGACGTCTTATATGTGAAGGGATCAATAGCGTCGACCTTCATGGGGTCAACCTTGCTGCAGGCGTTCCAATACGAAGTTAGGCCCCCGTGGATCAAGTAAAGCTTTTTATACTCGCAGGCAGCAAAGAGCATGCGAGGCTCGATAGACGGGATCTCCTGGGTCTCAACCAGAATCTCTCCGTAAGATTGGGGAACAAACATATAAAACCTAGACTTAGGCGGGCTTCCTCCACTGAAATAGTAACACATACTTCGAATGCGAATGATCGGCGCGGTGATCGTTCTTTTAGGAACGCCTAGACGAGTAACTGTCCCTGTGCCAAAGGAGGCTTGGGAAGGAGAAAACTCCAGCACCTCTCCCAAAAAGGCCGTCTGCGATTCTTCGCTAGTCTTATGCTTGGCCAAATCCACAGGTGATGCGTGCTTTTCCTGTGGTGAGATCAGACCACATTTCATGTTAATTTGTCCTTTCTCACCAGAAAAAGTAATATTGCTCAAAGGAGGTATCACCGTCAACCTTTTGGTATAGGCGCGTTTTCTACCCTTGGCTAGTAGGTGGCTGTGCCTGTACACCATCCAGGACGTAGATATTTAAATTGGGGGATAGGACGGATATCACCCTACGACTCTTATCGTCCCATGCCTGCCGGGAATTGTAGTAAGGGATAATTAGTGCAGATCCAGTAATAGGATAGGAGGAGGATATACCACTAAATCCTGGACATTAGGCTCATTTTGTAAAACATGCAGGCCTGCGTTTTTCACTCTTTAGCCAATGCACATAAAATTATCAGACACGATTAATTACGAAGAACTTTTGCGGGGGTAAGTGTAGAATGACCAGCTAGCTGTAGCTACTTACTGCTACCGCAGAAAAAGCCATGGCGAAGGATGAGCACTGCCGACGTTTATGGGTTGGCCTTCGGGTCTATACTTTTAATTAGCGTATCCATATCGTGCGGTGCTCTTGTCATTTTTGGTGGATTGAGGCATGCATTCCCGGAGATTTTTCAGCCACAGCGGCACAGACAGCACACCCTTAGCAGATTTCCTTGGTTCATCGACGTCTTTATTCGTCCTCTGGAGGAGTTTGCGAGGAGGGGAGATCTAGTGCTTCTTTATATCCTGCATCAGACTGCAGTTATCATCATGCTCTTCATTCTCTCGTCATTCAGTGTGCTGGTCTTGATTCCCGTATACTGGCGTGGCACCATGCAGGGGAGCCTGGGCTCCGGGTGGTCATCCATAACTATCTCTCATCTGGAAGGAAATTGCTTGGCGTATCTCTTCCCGTTAGTAGCAACGTTCATCTATATGTTTATAATTCTGTTCTATTATACCCAACTCAGAAGCTTCTGCGTGCGCATTCAGCAGAGCCTACCACCTCCACGCTACGTACTTCTTCTTCACCTTCCCAAAGAGCTTCGCTACATACAACCGCTTCAGACAGCGTGCCAGCTAATGTACGGAGAAACATTGCGCTGGATAATACCCGTAACGCAGCGTTTTCATACTGCTGTTAGATGCATCAAAAAGCAAGACCGCCTAGTACACCGAGCAAGCGTAAAGCTCTGCGAATGCGAATGGTACAGTTGCGCCTTGCAAAAGGAAATGCAGATGATGACAACGCGCGGGCCGCTGCTTAACAAGCTACTTAATATGAAGCGGATACGAGCCGCTAAAAGATTTGGACGGAGCAAATATTCCTTTAGCCAGCTTCTCCATAAGTTGGATGGAGCGCAAGAAGAGCTGGACCTCATACTTTTGGGGCAGCCAATTAGCTCCGCGCAATATCAACTGCGCATGGAGCAGATAGAGTACCCTGACTTTTCTGACTACCAGTGCCTACGTGCACTAGGCAGTGATGCGTGTGAGAGGAATGATTGGCATGAGCACCCTTCAGAGGATTCTACCAATTTAACTCAGTGGTTCCGAGGGCTTAAGGTCATGTCTGCAGTGCTTGAATTTCAAGATCCAGCTGCTGCGCACAAGGCGGCACAGATGTCTTTCTCTTCTAACGCATTTAAGCCTAGGGTCCTCGCTGTCTCTCCTCAGCATGTTGTGTGGAGTAACCTTCAAGTACCCGAAACGCTTCGTGCAGCCTTTCAGGTCCTATATGTTCTGCTAGTGTTAATATACCTAACCATATACTTCTTTCCGTCCACAACTCTCGTCAATCTTGTTAACAAACATTCAGCCACATGGTTTCAACAGATTTACGGAGGCATGTGCTCACCCCAAAGAAACAGGTGCAAGGCCCAGCCATCCATCAGTGGCGAGACAAGGAGCTCGATTGGCAGCACGACTTGCTATGCGTGTTACAAAATTACAAGCTACATGATAGTCTTTTTGCCGACGGTGATAACGACTAGCCTCAATTCGTTGCTTCCTGTAGTAATTGGTAGCCTTGCACAGCTCTGCAGGCCAATGTTTATAACCTCATTACGGATAGTTGAATACCAGACGATATTTTTGTTTCTCATCATCATTCAAGGAGCTCTTCAGATTGTGCTACCGTCACTGCTGTCCAATGCTGGCGTTCTCGACTACTCCATCCTCTTGACTTATTCTCTTAATCAGATCCTCAGCCAGATTGGACGCAACATGCCCAATCAAGTGTTTTCTTTTCTTACATACGTGTGTACTAAGTACTTTGTATTCAGCATACTTTCTCTTTTCCGGCCAGTGGACATTTTGACAACGATATTTAACAAAATTGTATATCAGCGCTCGTATTGGCCCATCCGTTCTTATAGGGCAGCCGCACGCTTTAACCTAGCAAAGCTCTGCGCATATAGCTCACACATGTTATGCATAGGCTTTCTTTTTGGCATAATAGCTCCGATATCTCTTCCAGTGGTAACTATGGCATACACACTGATGGCAGCAGTTGATAGGCACAATATTCTGTATGTACATCCAGTCGATGATGAAAGCTGGTTATCACCAGCTCCAAACATTCTCTTTTTCCTCCAAAACACTATCTTTGTCGGGTTCACCTTCATGCTTGTTGCAACTGGTGCATACTATCTCCTTCTGACGGGATGGGTGCGAATAGTATGCTTCTCAGCTAATGTGCTCTTCCTCGCTATCTCGATATTTGTCAAAAAGACCCACGACAGGAAGTACAAGCCAAATCCCAGGTATACGGGAGCGTGGAAGGAGACTGGAGTGGATAGAAAGAGCATATTTCAGGTTGATGAGAGCGTTTGGAAAGTGGACAGCTACCGCGGAAGATTGGAGTGGGGTAGAGTGGACAAGTTTAATGCGATAGGGGAAGAACGGCGTAGATTGGATATAGCAACCAGCGCTAATGAAGTAGGGACACTGAGAGTTGGCGAGCACTCACTCAGTACCTTTGAGCGACTAGCTTGTTACACCAGAGTGCACACCATGGCAAGGGAGAGTGCTGACAATCAGTGAATGAAATCGGTAATAGACAATCCAAACTGATTCATGGTTGCAGATCCCAGTGAGGCGCATTGGGAAGAAGGATTGCGAGATTTTTTGGTGAGGATGGAGCTTAATTTGTTAGCAGGTCTGCTAGCCCCACTGGAGGCGGCGAATAAAGCTGCTGCGCCGTTTGCGAGATTGCATACTGACTTCTCCTTTTCTTGAACTAACCGCACAGACCTACCGCAGGCTGTGCAGTGAAGTAAAGCGTAATCTGGTCTAGGATGTTTGTGTGTAATTCTGCGTCCTAGGGAAATCCTAGTGGAGACTCGCGGCCCAGGAGAGACTATCTCTATACTGTCTAAGTCAATGCTATGGCCACAAAGCGTGCATACCAGTGGAAGGGTGGAATCAACGTTTCCACCTACAGCATTCTCTGCAGCACGCATTAGCTCTGCTGAATAGGTGGTTGACGTCTTTAGAACATGCAGCGATAGCGTGGCAAGATGCTGGGCCTTCGCTTCTTCAAGGGCAGGGTTTGATAAGTCTTCTTCGGTCATAACTAACTTGCAAAAACAAGTTTTTGACTGCTGTACCACGAATATAAAGTCCGATCAGTATTCACTGAAGACAATCCTGCTATGCTTGACATTCTGCACTTCCTGCAGAGTAAGGTGCAGACTCCTTTTAAACTCTACAAATTGGTTAGATTGCCGTTAAAGTTGGCGTGGGTATATGCAATAAGAAGACTCCGCTGCTAGCCTGCCACTTCATAAGCGTGTCTGTCCACCGTGTACCTGCACGGCACAGTGGTCACTACCTACAAGCTTTTCAGAAATAGCTGATAGCAAGCTCCTCCTAGATCGAGACAGCTTTGCTTTCGAGGGCAGCTGCGTTCAGAGCCTACGCATGGCATCTTTATTCCTGATAGAACCTGCCGCAAACTAACCATTTAAATAATTACTAGATGAACGCGCCAAAAAAGACCCGAAAGCCGTCTATCACCAAAGCTGAAAGCACTCCTCCTTCTCTCCCTCAGCAGGGGCTTCTTTATACAAACTATCCAGATCTAGGAAAGAATACAAAGGTATACTACTCGACACAGCTAGTGGAATCTCCCGAACGTCATAGTTTAGTAGAGCTGAACAAACGGCGAGCAGCTAAGGAATCTCACGCGCTCACTTTGCGGAAGCGGTCTATGACTCACTTGTTTGGAATAACCGCATCTAGAAGGAACACCCTCCAGGCCTTTGATGAGGTCAATTCCTACACACATTTGAAGCAGATCAACCAGGCCCAGGCAATACGGCTGTCCTTAGCGGGCAAAAATCGAACAGCCGATAGCGAATATGCGGCCTTGTCGGCAGTCTCACAAACGAGGCTGCTGTATACGCATCCCAAGGCAGAGGCTATTCTCGGCATGTCGCAGGTGGAACATGAGCGCTATAATGCACTTCGAGCAGGTGCAGCAATCCCACAAGGGGCACATGGAGAAACTGTTACCGGAGCCACTCTCATGACTGAGCTGCCACCCGAGACATGGGGAGGCACAGAAGATGTCAGTGGTGAGGCTGATTGTAAGCAGGATCTTCTTAGCGAGCAAGAGCAGCAGCTTCTTAGCACTAGGGCAACGGTCTGCGATACTGATGTGACAATGAATGCAGAACTGAGCGTCAAAGAAGCTTATTCTGATTACCTTACTATCGAGGACCTTGCCTTTAGTCATGCTGGGAATGAGGCTAGGAAAAGGCCCAGAGCCGAACAATTGGCTAACCTGGAGAGGCAACGGCTGATAGCAAAGATAGAGTCTGCGTGTATCCCACCAAATGTCAAAATAACATCATCCATAGGAGTCCGTGAGATGGCACTTAAGCCTATACAATCCATACCCTCTACGCTTGTCACATCAAGTCAGGTTCTAGACCGGTCAACCCGATCGTTGAAAAACGTTCAGTCAACAACGGCATATGTTAACAAGCTGGTAAGGTCTTGTACAGAGACAACCTACCTGCCTGCGTCAGGGGGTAGGGAGGACAGGATTCGGCATTCTATCCCATCTTCCCATAGGTTTGTTACGACAGAGGCCTCGACAATGAAAGACCTCATTCACTTTATTCCAGATAATTCTCAAGACATGCGAAAACGGAGCAGAGAATCGATTATAGAGCTTTCAGGATCGGGAGGTCCTCGTGTTGCAGATGTGCTTGATGTTCTAGTTTGGTCTAGGAGATCAACTGCCACATAGATCCGTGGACCAATTAGCTAAGTAGCTAGAGAATATCGATATTCACTCACCGGGGGGAAGAAGCATGGTCCTTAGGCGTGAGTCCTGCACTTCTTGTATCTGTGCACGCTTATCCTCCAGCTCAGAATCACTAAGGCTCATATCGCTTGGCTCTTCATTCAGTCCGTCACTCTCTCTATACGCAATGCGCCTTATAAAATGATCCCAACTGGCAAACACGACCATATCCAACTCCTTGTCTCCAGACGCTTGTGTTACCACCTGTGGAACCAGGTTGACTGCACATATTCCGTCGAAGAACCGTCTAGATGACCTTGCTTCCTGTAGTTTGCCATGGCAAGTCAAAAAGACCAATCTTTTGCTTCGTAAGCCGATAACTATGTGCCCAGTCTTCGAAACAATCTCTTCGTCGCTTGGAAATGCCCAGTCCAAGGCCCAATCCTCTAGCTCGATGCTATACAAATGTGTTTCTTGCTGATTCTTCAAGGACCCAGCTAGTTCTGTCTTTTCGCCTGTTTCAGAGTAAAGCTTCTCTAAGAACATGGCCAGTGGAAGCTCAACGCCTCGGATGTGCTTGTCTGCGCAGGCTGTCCACAGGATTTCTCCTGCAAACTTCACTAGCAGTACGTTGGTAGGATGCGGTTGGAGGCGGTAGATGACTTCCATTGTGTTTCCATCAATCACAACAGTTGCGCCATCAGAGCAGGCAGCTGCAAGAAGGATGTGACCATCTCCTGATAGAGGAAGAAGACACAGAGAGTTGACAGCCCTCTGAGAGATAGATATTGTCGCTGACGTGATATACGGACTTTCCTGAATGGGTGTATTAGGCTCGAATGCCTGCTTATTCCTAGAGATGTCCCACCTGGAGACATAACCGTCGGCAGATCCGCTGAAGATATAGTGCTCGTCGTGTGAAAAGATCATGCATTTGACAAAGTCGTTGTGTGAGGTCAATCCGGGACCAGGAGCAAAGATCGCGTTGTCAACGATGGTTCTGTCCACTATGGAAAAGCACAGGATCCGTTTGTCCCAGCTTCCCGTGTACATGTGCCGTTTATTTTGCGAAAGAAGAATGCAGACTACAGGCCCGGTATGGCCCTCGTAAGAGCGTACCAGTCTGCCTGTTTTCCAGTTAAAGCAGCGCACCTGATGTGTTGCCAGACCGATAAATGTATATGGGCCATTAGTGACCGCCGAAACGATCTTGCTCTTGCAGTCTATTTGGTGAAGCATGGATCCAGCGCTAGGTGGGACGGATTTTAAAACTTCTTTAAATAAGAGACTCTTTTAGACCATCTCAAGAGGAGATGCATACGGGGCCTATTAGTGCCAATGCAGCAACCCGCAATAGCCATAGAAGGCTGCTCATACCGCTTCCTTCTAACTCTTTTTTACCTCCGCTGCTCTCTCAAAATTGTCTCCAAGCTTTTGTTGCTATGCGCCACGTCAATATAACACCTATTTATAGCGTTTCTCCCTGCAGTGATAAGGTGCTTCAGGTTTGTACTGAGCCGTGCGTTTCATGCACACTACGTCACGTAATCGACGAGCTTTCGTTTTTGGAGAGTGAATGTGGCATTAGGCTGGCAGCATCCATTTTTGTCGGGGCCTTGGAAGCATTGGCTTATTTAGCTTGTCTCAGTAGAGTGTGGGGACTAGAGTTAGACATTCAGAATATAAATTGGCTGGATATGTTATGCGTAGATGACAGAGGGCAGTGGAAAATAATTGCCCATAAGATGAGTTCTTATCGGGGTGGTCACAAGCCATGCAATAGCATATCAGGCACACATACGCCTTCTAATAACTTTCGTACTTGTGATGAAATAGCCCACATGTGTTTACCCGGTATGCAGTCACTGGGACTTATTATATTGAATTTACTAGTTGCTGGGTCTCGCATTGACCTAGAGGAAAGTATAACGCTACGAAGTTGGAATAAACTTCAAACGGATATTGCATGCTCCCGAAACAAACACGAGATTCCTGACCTAAGGCTTTTCATTGATACGCTCAGTATCATATGGGACGAAAACTTCAACCAGCCTGTACATCCATATCACATACTCACGCGCCTTCTGCCCATTCTTCAGACATACATGAAAGACGAATCTACTAAAAGCGGAGCAGTGGACCCTGAACACAGAAGAAAATCAAAATACTCTCCGCTTATGCTCGGTGTCTTATCCAAAGACTATGAGCTCGTGCAAAGACACATTTCGTATGCAGGTTGTAGAACAGCATCAGGAATGACAGCCCTTATGATGGCGGCAAGAGACAATTTTGTAGAAGCCGTACAGATTCTACTTCCCCATGAAGCACACTATAAAACGTTTTTAGGGACTAGATTTGAGAGTAGAACAGCACTGATGTTCGCAACCCACAACCGCAACTACGACTCCATGCATATACTCTATGAGCAAGAAGCTGGAATCGCTAATGTCTATGGGGCCACATCCTTAATGCGTGCAGCTCAAAATGGAGATTGTGTAGCAGTTGAGATACTCATGAAGCGCGAAGCAGGAATGGCTAACTACACAGGGTTTACGGCACTGATGAATGGAGCCACAAAAGGCTTCACCAAAATTGTAAGTTTGCTGCTCCCATTTGAAGCAGGAGGAGTTACAAATGATAAGCACGAATGGGGAAAGGGCCATTCTGCCCTTTCGCTGGCGGCAATGAATGCTAACAAAGAGGTAGTTTTGTTGTTATATGAAGTTGAGCGACAGTTACTTAAGTCTCGGTGCATATTAACATCCGGAAAAACAGTGATAGAGGAGCTTATTGAAGGAAAGTAGTATAGTTATCTAGTTATGCCAGTTGATTACATGTGTCATACATAACGTGGTAGCCAATAGCTTAATATAATGCTATCAATACATATGGTTATCATATTAAGACGCAGGACCTAAATGCTACAGGCGGCCTCAGAAAAAGCTCTCTGAGGGAACAAGAAGTGAGGCGACTAATGCACCGAGGATGCTGCAGGCCTCTGTCCACGGAATGCAAACCCATTACTATGCAATTCGCTACCACAGGCTTCTGTTTGCGGTGACACAACTGCTGGGTGTCGCCACGCTCTGGAAGCTAGTGTACGGGCTCACGTTGTAAGGCCGGCGGACCGGAGGATGCAGGGGCCACAGGGTAGCGACTGACCATCATGGTTCTATAGGCTCTGCGGCTAGTAGCACAGGGGCAGGGATGCTGCATCCCGGTGATTGGCTCAGGGCCGCACTATCCAATGGGCCGACGACCCTCATGTTGTTTCAATCTGACGTGGCCTCCACTGCTGCTCCCGTACGAGTTGGAGAAGGGGCTGGCCCCATCGAATGCGGCAGAGAACAACAGGCGCCCGGCCTTCGGGCGAGGAAGCTGGGTGATCTCGTCCAGGCGAAGCCGACTCCTCACCGTCCTCTGGGTCCTGCCTCTTCTACCGCCCTGGCACAACATAGCTCGGTAGGGGGCGGCGTGTCTGCGCTACAGGACGCGTCGTCAAGAAAGAGTGGGCCTGGAGAGACCCGACGGCCACCGCTGGGATAGGCCTCAGAAGCCCTTGGCTGCAGGATACGCTACTGCCAGGGTCAGTGCAGGCTATGGCTTTGAGGAAGCGCAGGACTGATGGGTGCTATCAGGAAACACCTGGCACGTTCTCGTGTAGAGGGGGACTCAGGCTTGCGGGCTCGGATGTCTGCCATTTCCGTGTCAAGTTGATGTGACCAGATCAGGGGCAGTGGTCGAGGGATCGATCCACAGGCTCCAGAACAATATGTCGAAGAACAAGCAATCAGACTGGCGGTGGCTTCGGCAGTGTCGTGGCCCGGGCCTCTTCAGCCGCGCTTGATGGAACCCGACGTTGCGCCAGGCGACGGGACAGGGCACCGGTCGTCCTTAGAGCATGCAGGAGGCGAGGCTTGTGAGCCCATGGGCGTCTGGCCTGCCAGCTGAGGCCACATCGGTGACGAGGCCCAGGGTGATGCAGCGTGGATGACCCTGTGCGCGTGTGCTCTGTGATGACGGGCCTGACGGTGAGTGCAGCAAGGTTATAGGCACGGGCTCTGTCTGGGCCAGGGCCCCAGAGCTCTTTCTGTCGCAGGGAAGAATAGGGCAGCGCGGTGCAAGGAAGGCATCTAGCAGGATGCTGGGAAACTGACCCGATGTGGCAAATCACGGGCGCTGCCAAACACGGCGTCTCTTCTCTTAGACAGAAGACAGGCAGAGTGGATGATTGCGGAGGCTGCAGTGTCCGTGGTAGATCGCGGCATCGCAAGGTGGCTGAGTCTGTGCCGGTGTGTCTGTCCGGGCTCTAAGTGCGCTCTGAGGATCACCTGCTGATGGGCTGGAAGGCCCGAGAAGTGATGCGCTGCCCTTGTCATCGCGGGCAGCGCCCTGTGGCACGCACTCGAGCCAGCGCCTCCTGGTGGCCAGAAGCAGAGCAGAGGCAGACGGCCGGTCGTGCATCCGTCCAGGCGGCTCACTGCGTGTAGAGCGAAGAAGACCACCTGCGCCGCTCGGGTTATTGCTCAGCATCAAGTGCGGATGGAAGGCTGGGCCCGGCAACCAGGGCGCCGACCTGCACGCTCCCGTCAGCCATCCCAGGCCGGTCAGAAGCCAGGCTCGACAGGCAGTGCAAATGCCAGGGAAGCCAGCGTGACCATCGGGCCCGCGTTTGAATGCTAAAAAACTTGGGCAGCGATGGCGACTGTCGTCTTCCTGGGAGGGCGCCTCTTCGCACAGGGTCAGCCGTCCTGGCCCTGCATACTGGGTGCGCGGCTCGAAGGCGCGCTGTGCTAGTTGTGGACCTGTCAGGCGCTGCAGCCTACGAATAGCACGGACGGATGCAACGGAGTGTCCGCGCAGTGCACTGTCATTGTCCCAGAGAGCTGTTGTTCTAACCATGCGCCCTACACCGGCTCGGCATACCCCTGCTGCTTCCGCTGCTGGTCTGTCTGCCACTTGTTTATTATAGCGGGGGGCGCATACGCTTATAGTGTCGTCTAGGCACTGTAGTGGTCTTCTCGGACGGTGCATGTATATTCACATGATGGCCGATGGGTGGAGCGGCTGCCTGATCTTAGAGCTCTCATTGCAACAAGGCGGGGCGTCGGCTGTCTACACGCCTCTAAGCGAGCCCGCGACCTCTGTGCAGATGCCTGCTCGCCGCGCTCCATAGTGACGGCTGTACACCCAGAAGGGGTCGCAGAATCCTCCGCTGTCCTTCGAGGTGGACCACGGCTTGTGCACAGGCTAGCGACGGGGCCTGCGCACCAGTTGCTATGGGTCCAGTCTGCCGGGCACCTGGATTACAGTGCACGTCAAGACTGCACACTCGTTTGCATGCTCGCTGCTCGTGTTGGACAGAACTGCGAGGGGTCTGTCTCTGGCCATCCTCGCCTTAGTGCTTGGCCCTTGATGACACGCCTCAGCAGAGGATGGTGTCTTCTAAGTACTCGGAAGACTATCCGTGCCTGGCGGTTCCTAGAGAGTCGGTTCGCACAGAAAGCGTAGATGTGCCCGGCGGGCTGGCGGGGTAGGGCTGGGGCTACAGAGACTAGCCATTAGCCCGGATTACAGCAGGGACACCTGTAGTGCCTCCTCGGCTCCTAAGCGTGGAAAGGCCGTAGAACTTGCAGATGAGTTGGAGGCTGGTTTTTGATTTTATGCATTTGCAGCAGAGCAGAGTTTACTGAAGGTCCACTTATTCTAAATTCGAGGAGCCTCATCTCCTCCTCACACACGGTGAGATGATCGATTGTAGAGGTGTATTGTGCAAACCGGTGGCAGTCAGCGTATATCCAGACGGATACTGCCTGCGTCCTCTTGTGGCAGACCACCACCAGGGCTCCAATCTGCACATCTGTTCTGGCATCTGTCGGGCAATCATCACCTTTGGTCGAATGATTGCTGTACGTCACACAGCTTGAGCCATCCGTCGACCAGGTGGTGCCATAAGCTCTTGTCCCCTACTTGTCCACCCGATGCAGACTCTGAGCGCCGCCAGTTGCACTCACGTCTGCACTACTCATCTGGATGCCCCCACTCTTCAAGAGCACATGCCCGCAGCCGATGCTCCGTATTACAAGAGGAGCCAGCCGGGCCACTGCGCTGTGCATAGCTCTCCTGGGCGTATTGTTATGCGCGCCCAGCCTTTCCATCTATAAGTCACCACGCAGCTCTTTCCCACCGTCTCGCGTCCACATGTGCGCCAGCGCCGCCGAGCTTTCGTGGTCTCGAGGGGCCCCTGATGCATGGAGCGCTTGCGCAAAGTCCTTCCACCACTGACCCAAGCCGACCCCTCGCAAGATCCTTAGCGGAGTTGCGTCCGAGATGTGTGCCTGCGTTGCTGTCCAGGTGCATGTGCCGGCCCTGGTGCTTCCCACAAGCTTGCGAGCATCGAGCTGGCCGCTACCGAACCGTATCAGAAGTCAGCACCAGGATGTAGTCCCATCAGTCAGGCTCTGCAGGCTCCCAGAGCTACGCATCAAAAGGCCGTTCTTCTTTGGTTGTGCAGCGTGGGGAGATGCACCGAACTACCACACCCTCTCCGTGTGGCGTGGTTTACGACGGGGGACGGGGTCCCTGTGCTCATGTCTATCTGCCCAGGACGAGTCGCAGCCCGGGTTGACAATGACAAGCGAGCATCGCCCGGCTCCTTGTCAGCGGGTGGGAGATCCCGCCACCCTAGTACCCACAGCAACGGGTGCCGATCACTGGCAGAGGGACACGACACCCAGGCTCCCGTTCCTTCCACTGATGGTAGCCCACTATGAAGAGCCCTTTGTCGCCTGCACCAACAACCTCAGGCACTGTGGGTCAGAGCGCCTCCATAGTGGACAGCGGTAGCACTATGATGATCTGGGGTGACAGGAGTCCCGGTCTATCAACTCAGGAGACAGCACGCTTTGGGCAATGCTTCCCTCCTGTCCAGATCTGGGAGGACTGGCTGCCTTCTGAGCCCACCTGGCACCTTGTCAGGTGATGGAGTGTCTTAAAGTATTCATTACAAAAGATCAGAAATAGCGCCATGCATTCCCAATAGACCAGAACGTCTCCTAGGCTACTCTATGCTGATTCGCACCTTTCATGGACCCTAGCGATCACTGTAATCTTCTCTCGGGATCCCGCAAGGGACTGTCCTTGAGTGCGATTCCCCCACGACAGCCGGGAGTCGCAGACATAATCCAAAGGGATGAGAGTACTACAGAGGCTGAGAGGAGAGCGCCGATGCACAGGGGTCCGCAGAGACCCGGTTCGTACAGGGAAGGCGTGGAGGCTGGCTCTCCAGGGATGTAGAGCCACCAGGAAAGGAGCTGGCAGTGGGGCTTAGGCGCAGCAGAGGCACCCGATCCGTCCTCTGATTGGCCGCGAGGCAGTAGGCGCATGGGGCGGCATCACCGCTTGTTTTTGGATTTTCTGCTTCCCTGCGCGTTGTGCAGGGGTCCGCAGTGGGCTGAGTATCACAGGCTACACATAGTAGATGCGTTTACTACCTAAGTACCTACGCCTTCCCTCTGCAGATGAACCACCAGCAGAGGAAGCCGACGAGGCCGGCCACAATGACAACCGCCGCGACAGAGATCCCTGCTATGGCACCGGTAGAAAGGCCGCTCTTATTCGTGCTTCCCCCGGTACTTTCACCGTTCATGAGGTAGCAGAGAACGGAGCCACTACCAGCCGATGGAGGGGCGCAGCTAGCGCAGTTGGCGACGCCGGTGATGGATCCCCCGTCGCTCTTGTCGCATGCTATACACTTTTCTTTGGACGGGTAGTACCCTGCAGCGCACACCGTGCACTTGGTGGCGTCGTTCGCATTGCACTCGGAGCACTCAGTGGCGCAGGGAACACACTTCTTAGTGTTACCGCCAGTCTTAGCATATCCAGCCTTACACGTGTCGCACTGGTCCTGGCTGGTGCACGTCTTACATCCGGCCGAGCAAGTGATGAGCGCGCCGTTATTCAGCTTGTACCCGTCGGCCGGAGTCTGACAGGCATCGCTCGCTTCTGCTGCGGCTAAGCAGACGCTCTTTCCGGGGAACTTGGTCGTCTCATAGCAGCCCCCGTTCATACGAAGAAGCCCGTTGGCGCATTTGTCACAGACACCAGTCCCTTTGGTAGTGCACGTAATAGCCTTTCCGGCCGCCGCCGAGCAGACTCCGTTCTGTGGAAACTGGCCGGCTTCCTTGCACTTGGAGCAGTAGGCCGTGCCATCGACCGTCAGCTCGCACTTCTCGCAGTTGTTAGCATTTGGCTCGCATCCTGGTTTGCACGTCCCCGTGTTGCCCTCTCCTTCGTAGCTGAGGGCCTTCTTAGGCTCACAGCTCGTACACCCGTTGGAGTTCCCGTTCGCGCACGTCTTGCACGAGGTATCGCACTTGGCACAGGCGGTTTCTTTCTTGTAGTATCCGTCCTTGCAGGTCTCGCACTGTCCTTGCCCGTTGCACAGGAGGCAGTTCTCGACCTCGCACTTCTTGCAGGCCTTCTTGCCCCCCTCGTTGGTGCCCGCGTAGTAGCCTCCCAGATCTCCGCACGCATCGATGCACTGGCCCGTGGGCGTGAGGGCCTTAGTGCCCTCGCACTCTGTGCACACCTCCTTGCTTGTCTTCGGCTCACTGCACGTCTTGCAGCCGGGGGTGTTGCACGGCGCCGCAGGGGGGTCGGACTTCTTCATGCACCCGGTGCCGGCCTCCTCGGGAACGTAGCCCTCAACGCACTCACAAACGCCAGAGGTCTTTTCCTCGTTGGAGTTCAAGGGGCAGCTTTCAACGCACCCCTTCTTGTTTGGCTGGACCTTCTTCTGGTTTTCGCACGTCTTGCAGGCGACTGCTCCATCGGCGCCCTTCTCGCACGTCGCGCATCCATTGGAGGTCCCCTCGGCGCACGCCTTGCACGTCTTCGGCTCAGTGTCGTCGGCGTAGTGGGTGCTTTGATTCTTGCACTCAGTTTCGGTGACGCACGTGCCAGTGTCGCTGCCATTATCCTTCTTCAGGTACGGCTTGTCGTCCTTACAGGAGGTGCACTTCGCAGCCTCGGTCTTACAGGTCTTGCAACCAGGATCACACGCCTCACAGGTTTTGGTGCCGCCATTTTTCACGAAGAACCCTTCGGTGCCGGTGCACTCTTCTTCTGTCACGCAGGAGGTGGCTGAATCTGTAGCCGTCTTCAGATACTTACCTTCTTGGCACGCAGTGCATGTGGCAGCCTTAGTGCCACTAGCTGATAGTTGCTCTGGTTTCTCACAGGTAGCGCACCCAGCCACCCCCGTGTATATCTTATCGCCAGTAAGTGTTACGCCCGTCGCGTCTCCGCACGAAACAACAGAGTCGTGGGCGTCGTCTGTATCTGCCGGCGGGACAAAGTACTTATTTCCAGCGACAGCCTCTGTGCACTTACCAGCATCTGCCGCTTGACACATGGCATTGCCAGGGGGTTTTGCTCGTTCATAGCACCCGCCCTTGTACATGAAGGAGTTGCCGTTACATCCTGTACATTTTCCGCCTGCGTGTGTCTTACATACTGCTGTATCAGACGACACATCTGTGCATACCCCGTTGACAGGAGCGCGATCAGCGGGATCTGCCTTGCATTGAGAGCAATACAATTTACCATCAATCAGAACGTTGCATGCCTCATCGGCACAATTGGTAGTTTGATCTGCACAGGTAGCCGTTCCAGCTTTTTCTGCTATCTGTGCCGTCCATACAAACTGAAGGATTACCCCCGCGAGAACAAATCTACAGAACATTGGGGTCAGCCGGTTACTAGGAGACGGACAGAACTATTAATACATTATTATCAATCTGTGTGATACACAGTAGAGTGTAATACTGGGCACACTTCTGAACGACGTCACGTGAGTGATGAGAACGCCATCCTGTCATTCGCGGAGGGCCTCTCATTCTCCCTCGTTATAGACCGTGGCAACAGAGACACAACAGGCAGCTCGTCCGTCTCCGTAAGCATTCCAGGGAGTCCTGCCTGTCTGTACGAGGAGGTTTACTCTTCCACCAAGGACGGTTTCCGGCTGCTTCCGGTACATCAGTCGTGCCTGGACCGCTAGTCTGTTGACCGCTCGGGATTTCAGATATGAAGGCTTGGATGTGTCCAGGTTCTGGTGGCGGTGATGGAGTATTCCACGTGGGTTTTTGCAGGGGCGGGTCTTTCTGAAGCATACCGCAGGCAGATCTGCGATACACTGACCCACTACCATTGACGGGTGCTCTTGCGCTAGTCTTGTATCTGGTTCGCTGATGATCCCCCCTAGACGACATCTTCCGCCATCTCTCGGAGAAGCGCGGTCTCAGACCAACCTCCAGTGGAACAACTCATCAGTTCCGCCTGTGTGGCGGGCTTCAGGCTTACCTGCAGGCGTAATCCAGAAATTTCACGAGTGGGTCTCGTCATTCCTGGCCAGTTCAGAGACGAGGGTTGGTCGTTAATGATATAATAGGGATCTCCCTTCACTTGTATACCAGGAGTCTTTTGCGTCTCTCAGTCGCTCCGCAGGGGTGTGCTCAGGCTGAGTATGCACGCCGGTCCTTTCGGGGTTCAGGCCTTCTCGTGGACTCTCTGCTCTATCAGTGGCGCCTCTCCTTGGTCTGCCGCCTTGGTGGGTGTAACTCTGGTCACTGTCCTTTTTTAGATGCTCCCGTCTGTCAGGGGCCGTCATCGGGCTCTCCGCTGGCTGGGCCTCTCAGTGTCCGGGCAGCTGTGGCTCGAGTCAGGGCTCCCACGGTCGCGGTCACTTGGGTCTCAGTGGGTCAGCTGGTGGGTGAGGCGGGGTTGGTGGGTGAGGCTGGAGGGCTCTGGTGGGGGCTGAGGCGGGGGGTGTTGTATGTGCCTCTGGATCCGGTGGGCCAGTGGGGTGGTGGGTGATCCCCTCTCTGTTTGCCAAGGTGGTTGCGTCTGATCCCCAGCCTTCGTTGCACTCCTGAGACAGAGGCACCGACGATCGTGTCGTGTCCCCTGACTGAGCGCCTCCCTTGGCCCCTGCATGTCTCGGGCAGTACTGCTTCTCTGTTTGACTAGTACGTGAGTGTTGAGGCAGGCCATCGCAGCCTCTCCTGTTGCTCGCTGGTGCTCTGTGCGGGTCTGCTGAGCCCCTGGCATGCCCTGTCCAGTGCCTCGACGGTAGTTCACCTCGGGCCAGCAGGGGTGTGGATGAGCCTGTGGATGGGATGGGGTGCTCTCAGGCCTCTAGTGTGATGGCCCTCGAAGACTGGCATGGTGGGGACCGGGTGGGCGGTGTTGTATGTGTCCCTGGTCCGGTGGGCCATGTCGGGTGATCGCAGCTGTGGTGACTGGAGGCTGTCTATCTGTGACCCATCCCTCTGTGGACTCGGGAGTGCCCTCCGCCCAGGCAACAGTGGTGCTGCTGGGGCCCTCGCCTGCGGGCGCTGTCCAAAATCTCGCGAGTAAATTCCCGCTCAATTTTTGGCGATGTCCGGAGACGAGGGTTGGTCACGGGCCGTAACGATAATCACAGCGGTTGTAAGGAGGAGCTATCTGCGTTCCTCGGCTGTTCCGTGGGCGTGCGCACAGCTGGACCTGAAGCGTCGAAGAGCCCGCGAGGACCCGATCCGCATTATGAATGCAAGATCGTACCTCCGGGGCCCCCAGAGAGCAATCGTGAGTCTCTACTCGGGGGACCACTCCGAAGACGTTTACTCTCTCAGCAGGACACACGTGCTGGCTCTGTGGCCAACCGTGTGAGAGCGCCAAGCAACTAACCGAGCACCTGAGAGAAGCAAACGATGACAGACACAGAGTGCTGGGCGACGACAAGTTGATCATTCCGGCCCAGTACCGAACCGGACAGCTGCCATGCTCATCCACCAAGGTGCACGCATGATCGCGAGCATCGAGCAGGCTGGGACTGGGGTCGCGCTCCCCGCTATCAAGGGCCTGAACGCCCTGGTGGGAAGCCCCAGAAGACTCAAGCAACACAGTAGAGCAGGCCCAGAGTAAGGCAGACCCAGACCCCGAGAAGGCGAGACGCCGGATAGCAAACAGGGTGAACAACGCGCTGAGCTTCGGGGCAGTTGCTAAGGCTCTCCGCGCCCTTGATGAGACACCCATGGTAGACATCAAGTCGGAGAAGGCCGACCGCCCTCAGCGCGCTACACCTGTGCGTCCTCCCGAAGGCTACGTTGGCCTTGACTACCCTCCATCGATGAACTCGACGGGCTGGAGCCGGCAACCGAGGAGGAAATGAGGAAGGCCCTGTTGGGACTCTCAACAAGAAGGCCTCGGGCCGGTCCAGCTCAAGGCGATGAAGCAGAGCGACAGCTTCGTGAAGTACCTCACGCAGGCATACAACGAGCTGACCACCCACCCCGAGGCGATGCCAGAGGTGATGGCCATGCTCGAGTTCCGGGCGATCCTCATCCCGAAGGAGTCCGACGGATACCGCCCGATCGCGATAGGCGAGACGGTGACAAACATCTTCCACCGCGTCCTGCTGAAGGGCTGATCAGGCATGCCAACTACCTCTTGTGCGAACAGATCGCCTTCATGCAGAACGCATACGCGGTAGGTGTGAGGAGGGCCCACGAGCTCATCAGCAGGCGGGGATGCACGCCGTCTCCCTCGACATAACGAACGCCCTCAACTCGCTCCCGAGGGCAGAGGTCGCCAGAGCCCTGAACGAGGCGGGCGTCCCGAAGGTCATGGTCGACCACATCGGGGACTTCCTCGACCTGAGGCACAGCCGGGACGTGAAGTGCGAGGTCTGCGGCGTCCCCCAGGGCGACCCGCTCAGCATGCTCCTCTTCTGCATGGCCATCGAGCGCCTCCTGAGACGCCTCAAGGAGAGAGGCATCCCCTTCCTTGCCTATGCGGACGACATCGTGGCGTTCCACGACGAGGCCTACCCGGCAGGTGTGATAACACAGCTGGCCATGGGCCTGACGATCAGGAGCGACAATGCAAGTCCACCATGGCGGGCGAGGAGGTGACCTTCCTCAACCACCCGGTGTCCCCCACTCCAGCAAGCCTTACCCCAAAGGCCATCGCAGGTGCTGAGACTGCCCTGAGGAAGATCGAGAACGCCCCAATAACCACCCACCAGAAGCTCATCCTGCTGTCACTCTGTGTGATCCCGATGGTGAACTACGCCCCCCTGGTCGAGATAACATCGGACAAGGCGGACTACGAGGAGCTGACAGACGTCGCACAAGGCTTCAGCAAGCTAGCCAACAGAAGCTGCGATCGCCTGGTCGACTTCCTGGCGTACCCGAAGGAGAAGGGCGGCCCGGGCCTGCTCATGCTGGGACTCTACCACGACGAGCTGCGGAGGGCATGGACTCCCTGGACGTCAACAAGGGGGCCAGAGACCCGGTGGAGCTGTCGGTGGAAGGCCAGGCACTGCAAGGGAAGGGGGCCTACTTCAACCGCCTCCTCACGCGCACACACCAGCTTTCGGACAGAGCGGCGGCGTGCTGACCGAGGAGGAAAGGGCCCTGAAGCAGAGAGATGGCTCGATCATGGGGCAGACAAGAGGCACCTGCCCGGGCTGCCACACGGCAAGGACCCTCGACCGCGACATGATCGTCACGTGCCTGTACCTCCGCGTCTCGGGGAAGCTCAACCGGAGCTGGAAGTCAAGACCCACAGCCACCTCAGCGACCAGAACCAGAAGCCCGACATCTGGCTCGTCGACAAGTGCAAGGCAGTGGACGTGCGTGTCATCCAGCCCCGCCAGATGGATGCCTACTACAACGAGAAGGCCAAGAAGTACAGGGACGGGACGCTCCCGATCATCTACGGGACAGATGGATCCCTCCACCCCAAGTCCAAGGGGCACCTCGAGGAGCTCCACGTGGACCTCTGTCCGGGCTGCCTTCGCCATCGCCTACATGGCTGCAGAGGCGAACGAGCACCTGACGGAGCTGATCAGACGCGACCGGGCCGAAAGCCTGGTCACCCAGAGCGACCGTCTCCTGTCATCCTACTTCTGACAACCGAATGAATCCATCCCCGGGACCCGACGACAACGACCGAGAAGGGGCAAAGACTGGACACACAGCCGAGTTGAATCCCAACCAGAAGAGAAAGCCCGCTAGCTGCTGCTGATCTGTATGGACAGTATTGAGAATGACAACAAAGACCAGAGCTTCACTCACCGTGAAGGGAGAACAAGGAGAGGCGCTCTAACAGGCCAGCGAACCTGCAGGACGGCTTGATCTCTGAAAGAACCGATGTGCACATCCAGTCTGAGTGTACTCCTGTAGAATAGCCGAGGAACGCAGATAGCTCCTCCTTACAACCGCTGTGATTATCGTTACGGCCCGTGACCAACCCTCGTCTCCGGACATCGCCAAAAATTGAGCGGGAATTTACTCGCGAGATTTTGGACAGCGCCCGCAGGCGAGGGCCCCAGCAGCACCACTGTTGCCTGGGCGGAGGGCACTCCCGAGTCCACAGAGGGATGGGTCACAGATAGACAGCCTCCAGTCACCACAGCTGCGATCACCCGACATGGCCCACCGGACCAGGGACACATACAACACCGCCCACCCGGTCCCCACCATGCCAGTCTTCGAGGGCCATCACACTAGAGGCCTGAGAGCACCCCATCCCATCCACAGGCTCATCCACACCCCTGCTGGCCCGAGGTGAACTACCGTCGAGGCACTGGACAGGGCATGCCAGGGGCTCAGCAGACCCGCACAGAGCACCAGCGAGCAACAGGAGAGGCTGCGATGGCCTGCCTCAACACTCACGTACTAGTCAAACAGAGAAGCA